AAAGCGCATTAAAGGCAATGAAGGTTTCCAAGCAGTATCCGCTTGTCGTGGTAAAGGTAGGTTTAGCTTAGGAAAGCCATTTGGAAGTAGAGCAGAAGCTAATTACAATAATCTTTCGAATTTAGCCCGTATGTCAAAGAAAACCGCGTGTGTCTTACAGCGAGCAGTTGGTTAACACTAAGTAATCTATATTCACACGTGGGTACCATTCGAAATCCATAATTACAAAATGCAGCGTTATTTATTCTTAATCAAAATGACACATATAGTTATCAGTTGTTTTCCAAAGGATTAAAGAATGTGCTAGTTTTTACCGCGTTGTGGCCGCATCTCTTCAATTGTTTTTCTGTTGCTATGTGTTGCACAATTGTCTGTGAGCTATGGTCTCACCACTTGCTCTCGAGCATCACTGCAATATACTATTGCCAAACAAAAGCAACCATGTTTTTTGCGAGCAGATGAAATTCACGATAGCCAACCAAATGAAATAGGATGGGGATGATTTTAAAATTTAAGGATAAAGTTGCTGTGAAAAGTTATCCTGCCGTAAAGTTAGGACCTAAATAATATTTCTGATGATATTAATTGAGAAGTTTTGATTCGGAAGTGATATGTTGCAAATTAAATTCTCCGTTTAATGTTTTTACAGGGACAATGAAGAAATCAGGTTGTCAGTTTTGACCAAATGCGACATCTGCGGAGCTTTGTTTCTAAAGGATTTAGTGGAAGTTTTTTGCACTTTATAATTGTTATTTGTTAAGTTCCATATAGAACACATAGGTTCAGTACAGAGACTTGAGTAGGACCATAAAGTGTTTTTTCTTGGGTGTAGATCTGTACTTACATTACTTTTAAACTTTTGGAAAGTCCTCAAGAATGGTAGGCTTGGCTGGCGGTGGACACCTCTACAACCCTGCGGCAACAGCAGAAGGTTTGGTTTTTCTGTGAACAATCATTTAATGAGAAACGCGTTACTTTGAAGATTTCCGTGTTATGAGAATGTGAAAACATGTAACTGCAAATATATTTATAGTGACAATAATTTTAAAGTATCTTACATAAGGTAAATGTGATAACTCATTAAAACTGTAATATTCAAGATTAGTGGAATCTTTTCTCCTACACTCAACCAGTTTGAAGTAGGCCTAGGAAGACATAAGGGTACGTAATTTAGGTCACGGAATTTAATTTCCTATTATAACCTGCCAAGTTTCAACTCCAGATCTATTATGAATGACTTGTATTGCATTTTCAGTACAAGAGATGACGGCCATGACATCAAATGCTCCGACATCTGCAGATGCATGTCTTAGTATTGTGCACAGCCTCATGTGTCATCGTCAAGGTGGTGAATCAGAAGGGTTTGCCAAGCGAGCTATTGAAAGTCTAGTAAAGAAGTTAAAGGTACATTATAGTTCTGACAACAGTGTATTTTTACTTTATCATTTTTTTAGAGTTATATGTTTGCATTATGTTTTTCTTTTCTTTAGGAAAAGCGTGATGAACTGGATAGTTTAATAACAGCTATTACAACCAATGGAGCTCATCCAAGCAAGTGTGTAACTATACAGCGAACACTGGATGGCAGGCTTCAGGTATTATAGGCAGAGAACTAGAGTGCTGTTTTTATTTTTCAGTATAAATTGTACTTGTTTTGCATGACATGGTGAATGTTGATATTTACTTCCATTGATTGGTTCTATGTAAATCATACATATGTAAAAACTTTGAAAAAAATTGATTAAGCTTCTGTTATTTGTCCATGTTTAACCATATACTGGTTATTAGTATTGGATATCACAGCTTCAAGTGTTTGTTAATATGTAATGGTAGCAGATGGTTGAAATAATCTACGTTGTGGTAGTATAGGTCATTTTGAAATAAAAGCATGAGATCAGCTTCTCATTATCTTTCTGGTAAGATTCTGTTGAGAGAAAATAGTGCCTTGGCATTTTGTGATTCACTTTCACTGCAGTGCATAGCATAGGTCTGTTGCAGATTAAAAATAAGAACTATATGTGCTGTTATGTTTATTTTCCCTTATATGTTTTGTCATGGGAGAGGAACTTGCCAGTAATAATAATTCATCCACCACCTGTTGCAGTTTGTAGATGCTACAAATTTGAACTTCTGAAAATTAAAAGTAACCAATCACATTAGTGCCAACATGTTGGATCAGTGAGTGCACTAAAGTGACCAGTTCATTTAGTTAATATATGTAGCACAAAAGCTGAACTTGTGAATGCACTGGCTATTAAGTCATTAATTACTAACAAGGAGAATCATAGCTATGACTGTGTTTTGTCTGTTATCTCTCATTTCACTGTGCACCTTTTATGTGGAATGTAGGTAAAGTGCTTATGAAAAATTTACATTTTTGTATTAAGTTTGGTGGCAATATCAAATTAATTATTAGAGCTAAGAGTGTGAAATTTTTGTACAGAGATAGATGTAACATATCTTCAAAAACCCATATAATAATAGTTCACATTAGGCATTTCAGAGTTAGTGTCTGTAGAACTTTGTTTTCATATATGATAAGTGTTAATTATCCAGAATTTTTATTACTGAAATTTATGGGTTCGTGGAGTTATCATGCCCCTTTCTCATAACATTTGACCCATCTGATGAATTTCATTAGACCTTGGTATGGACGTCATGATTCTAGAAGCCACTCTGCCTTTATTTTTTCATTTCCTATTATCACCATTATCAGCATGTTTTAATTTCTTACCATCAGTAATATCACCATATTGGCTGTGTGAACTTGTAAGGTGGGAACAAATGTAATGTCGACATAGAATCCTTAAATATTGCGTGGAAAAAGATAATTGAAAAATGTGAATTTTTCCCCCATTATCTTTGTGAGTGTTAATAAATAACTTTTGAAGGTGTGTTTACACTTGTATTCTTTACTTCTACATGAATGTCCAAAAGAATTAGTAATGATGGACAAATTTGTATCACTCCATGTAATTGCCTGGGCAACTGAGGCAATTGTTCCAGCTGCACACCACCGGTTTGTATGTAATGGATAAGAAAATGTTTGGATGAAGGTGTGGTATCTGTGGGGTAGCAAATAACTTGAACATTTTAAGGTAATTTACACTGTCTACTGTCTGCTCTTGGTATAAGAAGGAATTAAGTACTTTTTGACAGGTAAGGACTCTTCATACATTCAATTTGGGGCTATCCCATTCATACAGTGAACTTCATGAAACTCTTTGAATTGTTCTTTCAAGCAATGCAAACCATTTCTCATTGTGTGTTTTACTTTTTTTGTATGTTTGAAATGAGTATTTTATAGCCAGCCTGTATGATCAAATCTTGACAGCAATATGAATATTTCAGTTTTGTAAAACAATTATAATGAAATAATTTTGTACCAGTGAATGAGATGCTTCATGGAAGACAAATAGTTTGGGAAAACCTTTGATGAATCTTTTTAATTTAGGTTGTCAGGTAAAATTTCAACATCCACGTGTTCTGTCTGGTATATTTTATTGTCTTTCAAGAGAGAGCATAGGTTGAATCAAACATGAAAATTTTGTGGCTTTTGTTTAAAGTACTTAATACTAAATAAGCAAAGTATTTGCAGGATTCAGCTGAAAAGTATTTTCTGAACAAATTTAAATAGTTATTGTTAATATTATGTGATGTCAATTCAGAATCTTCATGATAATGTTCACCAGTTTCATTGCTGTCTTTTTTAATTTAATGCTTTTGTTTTTGAAATATTTAAAAATTCTGTAGAAGATACATGTATTGAAGTAACTTTTCGCATTTTGTTTTTATCTCATAAAGGATGTTTTAAAGTCTGTCACAGTGCTCTAACAGTTCACACATTAAATGCAGAGTAACTTTTTCTGTTGGTACATGTACATTTTGTCAGTAGTAAGAACAGTGTAGAACTAGTGCAACTAAGAAACATTGTTTACAGAGCCACCTACCAAGTTGTGTACATAAAAAAATTTAAACTTTGTATCAATAATCTTGGAGATAAAAATAACTGGAAATGGAAAAAAAATCATAAAAATTAGCAGCAGTGGGTTTATATATTTCATTACTCAGGTTATTCAGTACTGGCTTGTAAAGATGGTGTTTGAATTGTCTCCAGTGTATATAAAGAAGTGTATAAAAGTATTTAAATTTTTACCATTATTTGTTCTCAGCCGTGGGAATAAAAGCAATTACTTTTGTTCTGTGTTTTGTGATACTATACCCAAATTTAGAAGAAAATTATTATCAAAATTGCTTTTAGTTAGTCTACCATTGATTGTTCTGATATGGAATGGGTTTTCCTCTTCATTAATTTCGAATTAAAGACAGAGATTACTCTGTTTTATAACTGGATCAGGTAATCAAGGCTGTATGTGTTTGGACTAGGTGCTTCATCTGAGTTGGCCAATATTGGCATGTTATTACAAGAAGAGTTGCTTTTACTAAGTTAAGCATTGTAAATATATTTTATAATTTAGGATTTGATTAATTTTTGCATGACCAGATGGTGATTGTGGTGTCATGTGACTTGCAGGTTGCAGGACGCAAGGGATTTCCACATGTCATCTATGCACGGATATGGCGATGGCCAGATCTGCACAAGAATGAGTTGAAGCACGTGAAATATTGCCAGTTTGCATTCGACTTGAAGTGTGATTCAGTATGTGTAAACCCATACCACTATGAACGTGTGGTATCACCAGGAATAGGTTTGTGTAATGTTGCTGTCTGTGTCTTTAAACTTTCTGTCGTTTTCAGAGTTTTATGTTGCTTTCAGTTTTCCAGGCCCAGTGTCTCTAGGTTTTATCTTTCTTTAAGTTGAATTGTATATTGAGAAGACAAGGCTAACACTTCATCCATGTGAACTTGGATCTGTACATGGTGAAGAAGTTCAGAAGAATATTACAAACTTCATAAGTCATTCTTGGAAGCCACTTTTCTATACTCTGTGCTTTCATTCTGATAGGGAAGCCACTAATTTCTTGAAATGAATTCTGAATAACTTGTACCACCAATTTACATGATACAGCTAACCGACGATCTTAAACAAGGAAAGAAGATGAAGTTCCAGGAATTAAAACGAGAAGCTGAGAATAGGGAAAACTGGAGAGCTCTTTTTGGGCAGAGCAATGGACCTGTCGTAAGGCAGAACACTGAATAATAATAATCACAAATATTGGTTATGAAAAATTCCTGTTTTACATCATTATGCTTGGTTTTTCTAACATTATTTCAGAATATGACATTTGCCATTTTTGTTTTTGCAGTCCATGTTAGCAATCTTGTTTAATCTGTATTATAGATCTGTCTGGGTTGTCTCTACAATCTGGACCAAGTCGGTTGGTGAAAGATGAGTACTCTGCTGGTGTGGTGGGAGGTAGTGGCATGGAAGTGGATGGAGATGTAGGAGTGAGTCATACTGTACCACAAACAATACAGCATCATCCTCCCCCACCCCAGTTCTCTCTCGGCCTACAGCAGCAACAGACAGGTAAAAAAGGAGTGCTTACAATGTGAGTACTGTTGATCATGCACCATTGTAGTGGAGTAGCTTACTGTATATACAGTTTTTGTTGCATCTGCTCTCCTGAAATTGGTGTTTGTCAAATTTGAAGTGTTATTTTGAATTTGAGTTGATATGCAGCTGTTAATGTTCAGTAATGTTAATTCTTGGTGACTTTTCTCAGTATTCAAGGTAGGCTAATTTATTTTCAGTGTTTCCTTTGTTTTTCCCTGTTTCCACTGGCTACTTTGCTCTATATAACTGAACCACTTGTGTACTTCACTGACTTCTGCCATTATATTTCTTTGAAATGTTGGTAACTGCATAAAAAGGCTACATGTCAACCCAGAAGATCACAATCCAAATTTTTACTGCCATGAAAACCTCAGATCTCATGAAGGAAGAGAATATGTAAAAAAAATATCATTTACATAATTTTAGGTCAAGCTCCAATGCAGTTACATGGTAAGTAACAGGCAACACTGTGGACAGTGGTCAGAGTCTTAATATTTCTGAAGATGGTGCAACATTGTACAGAGTGATTCAAAAAGGACTTTACAACTTTGAAAGTGTATAGAAATTTATTCAGAAGGCTTACAGAATCGGTTGAGGTGTCATTTTGTAGCAAAACAAATCAAGTTTTACCTCAAACAGTCATTTTGGTTCGATGTGATTGCCATTGGTGATACTACAGACATCCCACCTGAAATCAATTTCTTGCCAAACATGATCCAGCATATCCGGTGTCACTTCTGCAACTGCGGCGGGGATTCGAGCTTTGAGCTCAATGAGATTGGCAGGTAAGGGTGGAACATACACACGATCTTTAATGAAACCCCATAAGAAAAAATCGAGAGGTGTCAAATCTGAGAATGAGATGGCCATGCTATCGACCCTGTTTGACCAATCCACCGACCTGGGAAACGGTTATTGAGGAAATCCCGGACTTCTGTGAGGTGGTGCGCCGTCTTGCTGGAAGTGAATGCGTCCTTTTTGGTCATCTTTGTGTAACTGTGGTATGAGAAAATTTTCGAGCATATCCAGATACACGATACCGTTGATGGTTCTCTCATGGAAAAAGAACGGGCCGTACACTTTAACTTTGCTAAGGGCACAAAACACATTCACTTTTGGGCTGTCACGAACGTGTTCCACAACAGCACTAGAAGCACGCAGGCGACCTGGAGGTTTGTCATGGCGAACAGAACAACCAGTCTCAAAATTCTTGTGCCAAGAGTAAATTGTAGGTCTACTGGGAGGATCCTTGCCATACTGGGTGCAAAAATTTCGTTGAACCATTGTCGCAGATTTCGTTTCTTGAAACCACAGCACACAGTGAGCGCGCTCCGCACCTGTGAAAGTAGCCATTTTCAAATGCACTGCCACTTGCGCTTGCGGTGACGGAATTCGGTACTACAGCACAATGTGAGTCAAACTTGATTTGTTTTGCTACAAAATGACACCCCAACCGATTCTGTAAGCTTTCTGATTAAATTTCTATACACTTTCAAAGTTGTAAAGTCCTTTTTGAATCACCTGGTATATAAAATTGCTCTTTTGAATTTTGTCCATTGTATAAATTATAAAACAATAAAACTACAAAATTCTGAAAGCTGATTCTGCTTCTGTCTTCAGGTAAACAGATTTGTCTTTCTGCCCTTTTTCTCCCCTTTTTAGCTGAAGACAGAAGCAGAATCAGCTTTCAGAATTTTGTAGTTTTATTGTTTTATAATTTAGATGATGGACAAAGTCCAAAGGAACAATTTTACATACTGTGGACAGTGGCTTGGCACTGATTGAGCTTGATGGAGACAATGGAAGTTGTGTATACCCAATACATGTGGCAGCAAATAGCATTGCTTGTGTAGGAGAGAAGAAACTGAGCATGTTTTTTTTCAATGCCATTCCATCTGCTTTGAAGAAGGTAGCTCTTTATGTGTTTTTCAGGATTGCATCTACCATGTAAATAGAGAAGTAGCTGCTGTTAAGGTGATAACTTCACATACCACAATGAGCTGTATTATTTTGTTGCAGAACCTGCTCAAAATTAAGAAAGTGCACATATGAATAGAGTTTACTGATGTCATGTATTGCTGTTATAATTTATACATATTGTGTTCACTGCATCTTTTAGCATTTTGTTTTCAGATTAGAGTTCTCATACATGATTTTACCCGGACTTTTATGAAAAGAAATATACTTCCAAATATTTATCGACTAATTTGCATTCTATGTTTAATAAAGTAAAGTAAAGCTGTCCCACTATATGTGTTTGAGAATAGGGTGTTGAGGATATTTGGGCCTAGGAGAGAAGATGATGGGGTATGCAGAAAGCTGCATAATGATCAGTTTAAAAATTTATACTCCTCCCCAAGTATTGTCAGGGTGATTAAATCAAGAAAAATGAGATGGGAGGGGCATGTGGCGTGTATGGATGGGGCAAGAGGTGTGCACCGGGTATTGGTTGGGAAGCCTGAGGGGAAGAGACTGCTGGGAGACCTAGATTTAGATGGGAGGATAATCTCAGGCAGGATCTGTGGGAGATAGGAGTTGAAGGAGACTGGATTTTGTTTGCCTGGGACGGGGTTCAGTGGAGGGCTTTGCTTAGTTCGGTGATGAACCTTTGGGTTCCGTAAGCCATGTAGTTAGTCAGTCCCACTATATGCCGTGTAGGCATTTGGGGGGAGAGGAGGTATTGCTTCTACTCATTCTTCACCTCGGCACTAGATGGAGGTGAGTGGTCAGCATCACACCCTGGCCACACTTTACTTCTGGGAATGGCCCCTGGTACCCATTGGATAGGTTGGGTGGGTGCCAGAGCAGGTCCGGATGCAGAGGCTAGAGGAAAAATCCTCTGCCCCCTTCGGGAATCGAACCCCAGTTGTCCAGTCTGTAGCCAATCACTATACTGACAGAGCTACCCTGGCTCCTCATGTTAAGTACCAACTAAAAATATAAGCATCCAAACAGTTTTATTTCACACAAACTAAAAACGATACATTGAAACAAAACCTTTTTCTCGTTTATGATATAACGAATACTTTTATACAGTTCAACAAACAGGTTTGTATATAAGTAGAATTTGAGGTTTTCATGGTAGTGAGTCCAAAGATGGCTGTCTTCTTGATTATAGCACTGTGTAGTCTGGTAGAAGTCTACCAACATTTCAGAGGTCCTTGCTGTCTCCATCATCAGGGTATTGGAGGCAGCAAGGACCTCTGAAATGTTGGTAGACTTCTACCAGGTTGCATGGCACTACACACAACCCAGAAGACACGCCATCTTTGGCCTGTACATGTTATGGTAACATGTAGTATCATAATTGTTATTTAACCTTTATTGTTTCCTTATTGAGGAGACTGATATTTTGTCCTGCTATTGGTTTTTTGTGTTATATAAGTGTTCCTTTCCTCTGCATTTGTAAGAGATTTGACTAACATAGCTGAATATTAAAGGCTGCAGTGTTCCTAAAACTGCATCATGTCTCTTTTAGAGTAATCATTTGCATGTGTTACAGTTATCAATTACTGGTATGCAATAATTAGCATTTTGTCACATTTAGTTTATTATTGAGTTTTTGGTGGTTTTATTTTGATTTAGTTGAGTTAGTAGCACACGTACTATCGCTTGTCTTAGCAGGTGACTCGGTTACTCTGTTTGGAGCTCCTGGGGCTGGGCGGAACACCAAGATGGAGCCACCACCACCAGATACCTGCCCACGATCCACATGGGTGCCTACTAGGCTGTCACATTGTAAGCTTTGCCCACCCACAGAAAATGGTATCTTGTGTTTTGAAATTTCAGGATAATTTCTAGACACAGATAATAAGTTATTTATATCTGAAGGTGGAACTTACTAAAACACGCATGGGATTGTCATATGATTGTGGTGATGTATGAAGATTTACATTTTCTAACTAATGGAATACTGATGGATATACCATAGTGTGAGAATGCATAATACTGAATTATATAGCATGTGAAAAATTAACTCTTGTTTCCAAGTCATCCTTACCAAGAACTTAACAATGCATTATGTATCACAAATCATGTGCCAAATGGCCAAATGCCCTGTGATCTTCTTGATGGTTCACCAGACTGGTTCATATACTCAATACTGCTCTGTGAAGTGTCCTGCTACACACTATGTAGGCGCTTGGGGGGAGAGGTCATATAGCTCCTACTCATTCTTACCCCAGTCATCCAGTCCATAGTCATTACAGTAAATGAGCTGCCCTGGCTCTTGACTACTACTCTGATATGTCATAATTTTATCTTCTTTTCTTTGAGATTGCTTTGCACAGATAAATATAATCCCGTGTAAGACTTGAGGTTCTCACAGCGGTGAGTATGAAGATATCCGTCTTCTGGGTTATTGCGCTGTGTAGTCTGTGTACAGACTACACAGCGCAATAACCCAGAAGACGGATATCTTCAAATATAATCCCCCCTCTTCCACACAAAAGAACTCTCTTCCCAAACCTCCAAACCCCCTAGTACTCATTGACTGCATGGAATGTACAGCACAAAAGTGTGTAGATAGAAGCAGATGCTCTGGCTGGTAGTGCACTGTTGGAACACTAGAATTAGAGGAATATGAAAGAAACACAACAGAGGCACAATATTATCATTGTCATCATTAATATTTTTGTTAAAAAATATTTTAGCATTGTGGTGCATTTTAGGGGGATATGTTTTATTGCATTTCTACCTGACCTGACGGGGCATGTGGCGCGTATGGATGGATCAAGAGGTGTGCACCAGGTATTGGTTAGGAAGCCTGAGGGGAAGAGACTGCTGGGAGACCTAGACATAGATGGGAGGATAATCTCAGGTGGGATCTGTGGGACATACGAGTTGAAGGAGACTGGGTTTTGTTGGCCCAGGACAGGGTCTGGTGGAGGGCTTTGGTTAATTTGGTGATGAACCTTTGGGTTTCATAAGCTGTCTAGGTACGAGCACTTATGACTAGAGATGAATGTCTTGCCTTAACAATTTGTACAGGAGTGCTGAACTGTACAGAGCATTTGTGATTATTCAAGTAACAAATTTACTTTGGTTGTTTCATGAGATTTACACAGATTTTATTTGTAATGCCCAGGTTTCATAGTTTAAATGCTGAATGAATACTTTGCAACTTGAAAGGAAAACCAAAACAATATTTGAATGAGTTTAGTTTTATGAAGGATTGGTATATCGTCTACTGTTTAAAGTTATAATTTTACTGAATTATATGAAAGTGGGTTTAAGGATGATATTGATGCAGAAGTTTAGATATATGCCAATATGTGCTACTGCCTTGTAGTAACCTGCATTCCTCGCTGTCTTAATGCAGGTTACTACAAGGCAGTAGTAGTAGTAACCTGCATTCCTCGCTGTCTTAATGCCCACCGTTTCTGAAAATTGCACAATTCAAATAGTTACATCGTTTCTAATGGGCTATATCTTTATTGTAGGTAATTTTGAAAAATGTTTCGTATCTTTCCTTTTGTAAGGAACTTTTTAATATGCAAAGAAACCATGGTTACAAGTGGTATGTGTTGTCTTCAGCTTCTGGTTCTGCTGGTCATGGTTTGGTGCATACAGTTGCATCTCCTACAAGTGGCACACCAAATACAATGACTTCCCAGCAGGCTTCTATGACCTCTTCACAATCCACAGTTGTACCAGGTCCCATGGTATCCCCCACACAAACATCAAGTACACCTGGGCCAGGTTCCTTCTTTGGAGCAGACAGTTTGTCATCTGGTGGGGACACAAAAGCTGTGCTTGCTGCATCACTCAGTAGTAGCCAGCAACAGAGCCCCACAGCTGCACCACTCTCACCTCATCTGCAGCAGAATGGCTTCACGAACTCTGGTATGCTTAGCTTTGACTTTACATTTACATTACTTTGTGCTTGTTTTGTGTGGCACCTTCTGTGATGGAAAGAAACACATTCAATGATTTATTTATATTAATTAACTCGGTGGTTATATTATATACAGAGGGTGTCTAGGGTATGTATTTTGTAATTATGTTTAAAATTATTCGTAAAATGATAACACTTAACGAAATATATTCCTGCAGATCTGTCTTTGTTAACAGGCAACATTAGAATATCCTTGTGTGAATTGATATCTGAAGCTTCTCATTCCAATATGTTTTTGCAGTCACATGGGTATTTATTTGCACCTTTTAGGAATCATATGTATGAATTGAATTTTGGAAGAAGGTGGTTCTAACCATTGTTGCATTCACAGGAATGTTACTAAATATGGTCAAGTTATTTGGACTTTGCACATGTTCTTTAGAGCTTTATTGAAAATCTTCAGTTAGAAGTGTAAGTGGTTGCTTATAATGTGAAATAATTTTATGTTACTCTTAGGTACACTTAGTAATACATCACCAAACCAACAACAGCAGCAGCAACCATTTACTGGAGCTCAGGGAACTTGGACTGGTAATAATACTCTGACTTATACCCAAAGTATGCAGCCACCTGATCCTCGTTCACATCACCCTGGATATTGTAAGTGGTCATTCATTTTCCTGCATTACATTGTAGGAAAAACTCATTCAGTGACATGAATGAGTTTTTTATATTTTTTTATGATAATAAATTTTATATCTGTTGTATTGGGTTGAACAGAAAGTTTTGGCATTTTCTAACCCAACAAAACCCCTCTTGGGGCCACAACAGTGGATACAGGGATTGGCACCCCTGAGGTACCCAAGCTACCCAGTGCCTGGGGGTATAGCTGGGCCACCCTACCTCCAGGGGCTATAAATATGGACATCTGGCCCTCCAGGTTGGGGGGTTGGGCATGGGGCTAATGATCCCATACTGCAAAAATAATTGTTACAGAAACTGAAGTGAAACAAAACTGAGTGGAACCTTTGTTGATGACCTTTGGCATGAAATAGAAAAATGAAGTTTGGGCTTTGGAAAGTTTGGACCCTGAGGGAAAGCAGCAAATTTAAACAGGTGGGAAAGCTCTGGAAGGAAGTGAAGAGATTGGCTGACAATCATACTCGTTGAAGATATTTCACATAAGCCCTATGCTCCAGTTAGGAGCAACAGGAATTAGGATAGGAACCCAACAACACCATAAGTTCAAAAGTTTACTGTCAACAATTGGACCAAGTAAACGGATGCTTTAAAGAAAAATGTCCACATCTTATCAACAGAAAAGGAGTCATCTTTCACCAGGACAATGCTCGTTCCCATGTCGGTTCAGTGACGCAGGAATAAATAAAGGAACTGGATTGGGGAATTTTGGACCACCTACCATATTCATCTTTTATCATTTATTCAGATCATTGAAAAACCATTTAAATAACAAGAAATTTGAAAGATTTGAATAGGTCAGCAGTGGTATCTTATAGCATATTTTGAATCAAAACCAAGAAGTTTTTACAAGGCCAGAATTTAAAAGCTTGAGACAGGTTGTGAGATGGTAATAGCAAACAGTGGAAAATATAGTTGTTTAAATATTGTAAATATATTTTGTAAAAAGAATGATTGTGACTTTTTATTTTAAAAATACAAAAACATTTCGTTCAGCCCAATAAATATAAATGTGATATTTCTGTTGGTCAAAATCAGTTGAATATCTGAGTATTTCTTTCATTTTTATAATTCATGTTACCTAATGGCAAAATTAACACAATATTTATTCCTAGCATTATGAAAATTGTACTACTAAAGTTTCACTGATTCCTCCCCCTTCCCCCTTTTTTCTCAGGGGGCCACAGTGCAGCTCAGCTTGGCTCAGATGTTGCTCTAACAGGTTTGCTGTCAACTCAGCCTGCACCAGAGTATTGGTGTTCCGTGGCGTACTTTGAGTTGGACACACAAGTTGGTGAAACATTCAAGGTGCCATCCTCATTACCTAATGTGACAGTAGATGGTTATGTTGATCCTTCAGGAGGCAACCGGTTCTGCCTGGGAGCACTTAGCAATGTACATCGCACAGAACAGAGTGAAAAGGCTAGGTATGTAAACAGTTTTTATTTTTGTGCATATCTGACATTCAGTTTTTGAGGTAATTGTATACAGGTAAATAGATTTGTTTTTAATAATACAGTTTTGATTTTGATTTCCTATCTTCTGGAGAGCTAGGTTAGCTCAGTCAGTCATTATAGTGACTGGCTACAGACTGGACAACTGGGGTTTGATCCCTGACGGGGGCAGAGGATTTTTCCTCTAGCCTCTGCGCCCAGGCCAGCTCTGGGGTCCACCCAGCCTCCTATTGAATGGGTCCTTTCCTGGGAGTAAAGCATGGCTGGGGCGTGACGCTGACCACCCACTCACCCCCATCTAGTTCCAAGGTTAAGAATGAGTTGGGGCTATACCTCCTCTCCCCCGAAGCACCTACATGGCGTATAGTGGGTCAGCTTTCTTTTTACCTTTAAAAGTGTATTAAATACAATTTATTATTATGATGCTCTGCACTCTGTCACAATGTACATGTTATTTGACATTAAATACTATGAATACTCCTGGAATTTAAATGTCGTCTCATAAAGTTTTAATGTCGTAGGGCACTAAAGTGTGTATGCTGACATAAAAGTTGTAAATATTGTAGTGATATATTTGTGATTGCAATATTGCTTTTAGTTCTTCTATTTAGAGTTGATATCGTCATTTTTAACACATGCTGTTTGATATGTGAATTGAGTAGCTCAGTCGGTATAGTGACTAGCTACAGTCTAGGTAATTGGGGATCAATCCCCGACAAAGGCAGAAGATCTTCTTGTGGCCTCTATATCTAGATTGGATCTGGGGTCCTTTCCTGGGGGTAAAGCATGGCTGGGGCGTGATGCTGACCACTCACCCCCTTCTAGAGTCAAGGTTGAGAATGAGGAGGAGCTATGCCTTTTCTCCCCTAAGTGCCAACATTGGCATGTAATGGGATGGCTTTACTGTTTGATATGAGACAAGAGATTTTATTTTAAACATAATTTGGTGTTTTAAAATAGAGATCTGTGAATGCTGGACATAACATTTCTTATATGGCACCCTTGATATGTAACCCCTCAACTGACCTAATCCCCAAATTAATTTTACCATTTCAGAGTTTTGTTCTTTCACATTCTCTTTTCTGCATTTTATTTCAGAATTGAAATATGAGGGGTTAAAGTTTCTTACTTCATGTATGTTGGTTATGTATTTACTTACATTCATTGTATATTATTTTTATTATTTATTGTAGAATTATATTATTCGGTAAAAACCTGCACTGAATAACAGTGGTTGTATTCCTATATTCTGTTTCTAGTATATAAATCGGGGAGACTTCATCAGAATCTCTTTGTCCTTTATGACTACGGGTTCACATTATATCTAATATTTCTTATGCTATATTTGATTTAGCAGTAAGTACTAGCAGCATTTCAAAATAATATTGTAAGTAGGTGGTTTATAATGCCTCCAGGTATAGTCTGTGATGACCTGCCTGGTCTCTGCACACTCTGCAAACCTAGGCGGTGACATAGATTCCATTTCTGAGGTGGGAGCTCCCATACAGCAGATTCTGTTACTCCCAGTGGTAGGGTGATAGTGAGAGTGGTGGTCAGTAGAGCTTATTGTGGGCTTTGAACCACCTGGTATCATTAACATTTTTAAAGTTTTATCTTTGCCAGAGGTGAAGGCTTTAATTGTAAGCAGAGAATCTACTCACAAATGTTGCTGGGGATTCCTTTGAATGAGAGTTCAGTGTTTTACTTGGAGTCTGTCAGGTTTTTGTAATTATTTGGTGAAGTACCACGTGATTATTTTCAGATTACACATTGGTAAAGGTGTGCAGCTGGATTTAAGAGGTGAAGGAGATGTATGGTTGCGCTGTCTCAGTGACCATTCGGTCTTTGTACAAAGTTACTACCTGGATCGAGAAGCTGGGCGGGCTCCTGGTGATGCTGTGCATAAGATCTATCCAAGTGCATATATCAAGGTAATAATTTAGATCACTATTTTCTAAAATTTTCATATTCAATGCTGGTGCTCATTGTGCATTGTTTCTTTACAACTGTTTGTAGTATAGCAAATTCCGTGGTGTAGTAGAATGCGTGATAAGCTGGAGTAATAGATAGGATAGAGAAAACAAGAAATGCAGGAATTTTTTGAGAAAATCTCTTGGAAAGTAGTAGCCTAGAAGATTGAGCAGGAAGTGGGAACTTAATTTAGAAATTTAGTTCAATGTGAAATGCCCTGAAACAGTTTTCAAGATTTGTCTAATCTCACATACAGACCATCAATAAGTGGCATCTTCCTTTAAGTTCAGGTCTGCAGTTCATGTGATGTATCTTCCCTGTGATGAGTTGATGAGTTGTATACAATACATGCATTGAGTACTCCTACACTCAAGATTCTTTTCAACAGTTTTATATACCATTTGTAGTCTCCTTTTTCTTTCAGTTAGTTGGTGTTTATTTCTCTTTGTTTGAGATCCAACCTTCCCATAGCATGATTATACTCTGCCACACACCTTGATCATTTTGTGCCTTTGTATTTAGAGTCAGGTGCAGTAATTATGAAAACTGAAGTTTGGATTTTCATCTTTTAGAATATACTAACCAGTTACAGAATATGTTAATTGGTCTTATATAGGATGAAAGAACAGTGGTGATATTGATATGCTGAGTGTTTCAGACTGCAGTATATGATGCAAGACCTAACACTTTGAACATGTTGGAGAGCTGTGAAGATTTACAAAATTTAAATTGCACTCTTATGAAGAGGAAAGTTATCTGTAGAAGTCATAACTTCACATTAAGGTTTTTATGATTGACTGTCAAATGTGTAAGTTATTTCTGCTGTTTACATATAGGTGTATACAGCATTGTACAATAAATGTATATGATAATTGTTAATAATAGATTTCAACTCAGGTAACAGTACAGTAGACACAGAATAGTTTCACTAAGACAGGAAACAATTTTGTGTCATTTGTTAATGGATGTACAATCTAATATGAATGCTACTGATTATGGTTGCACTTACAAATACAACATTATAGTCTGAACAACAGTATCTTCAAAGATTGTACATCTTGTTTAGGAATAAAGCACCTTATTTACAGTATTTAAGCAGCATGACGTCCTGTCAGATGGGGAATGTGCATCTCTCGAGTTAACACTGCAGCTGTGGTTACCATAAGGAAAGTATTCTAGGTCTATATAAGATGGATTGCAAAGCATTTCTCTTTGCAGTGATGATGGAGAATTGTTCCATTAACCCTGAGAATTTAATCCCATATATTCATTGCGCAGCCATTGTCTTATTGTAGAGCCACAAATTCTTCCCTGTAGGTATTTGATCTTCGGCAGTGTCATCGGCAGATGCAGCAGCAGGCCGCAACTGCTCAAGCAGCAGCAGCTGCCCAAGCTGCAGCTGTGGCAGGCCATATCCCAGGACCACACTCTGTTGGTGGCATTGCCCCAGCTATCAGTAAGTGGATCAGCAAATACTAAAATAGTACTTTTTTTTTTGTCTTTTGGTTTCACATGGAATCACATTTGTTACTGGTAACAGAAATCTGAACAAGAATAAGGGAATAGAAGAGTAGTATAGATAGATAACTACTTTTGGTTGAAGGTACACAATACTTCTCTGCTTTCCAGACATAACTAACAAACTAACTAGATGGCTTACGAAACCTGATAGTTCATCACCGAATTAACCAAGGCCCTCCACGGGACCCTGTCTGGGGCCAACAAAATCCAGTCTCCTTCAACTCCTATCTCCCATAGATCCCACCTGAGATTATCCTCCCATCTACATCTAGGTCTCCCCAGCAGTCTCTTCCCCTCAGGCTTCCCAACCATTACCCATTGCACATCTCTTTCCCCATCCATGTGTGCCACATGCCCCACTCATCTCATTCTTCTTGACTTAATCACCCTGACAATGTTGGGGGAGGAGTACAAATTTTTAAGCTCATCATTATTCAGTTTTCTCCATTCTCCATCATCTTCTCTCCTATGCCCAAATATAATCCTCAAAACACTATTTTCAAACACCTGCAATCCTCAAATTCTTAGAAAACAGACAGGAAGACAAAATATTTTGAACTGAGAAGTAGCAAGCATATCCGGAATTTAGTCTCCTCCTAACTTTCTCATAAATATCATTTTGATTTGTTATTGTTGTTCCAAAATATTTGAACTTTGTCACACTTTCAAAGGATTTATTAGCCACCCTAATATGATTCTGCCCTCCTGTCTGCTGATGAGATACTAACATATACTTATGTTTTTTTCTGAATTTACTTCTAGCCCCACCTTTCTACTAGTTCCTAGTATAACTTCTGTGTTCCTCTTTATTGTATTTATATCGTCACCCAATAAATTAACCTCATCAACATATGCCAATAGCTGATGTGTTCTTCTCTCCATACAAACAATTTTTATTTTTATTTTGATGAAAGTGTGTTATGTGCATTTTTGGAACCATTATTAAAACAGTCTGTTCTATTGCAAGTTGGAACATCTGTGATAAATTCACCAATATCAAAGGTTTTGAATCATTTTAAGTGCCCTGAAGATGGAGTGCATAAAAAGATGCATGTTTGGACTGAAGTAACTGTAATGCCTTAAATTATAGTAAAATTTCATTTAAAATTTGTGGTCTAATTTTGCAAACATCTGCAGAATGAGAGGATGTGATTTACATTGCTTTTACTACAAATTGGTTTGAAGACAGTCCCCCTATGATTCTGTTAATTGTTCAGCATAAAACTTCGGTTAAGCTAATGTATCTCCCAGTATTATTTGTTGCAAAATGGTTTTAAAATTTCCAAAACATCATATATGGCCTTCCCTGCACCCTGTGGCCCAAGTCCACAAGTGAAAATTTCCCTCTCTAATTTTACATGTGCGTACAAGTCCACATGACTACTGTATACTTCATTTTCATTCATACATCACATTTTCTATTTGGGTTTTTGAAATGATTATTTTAAGTACATTTTGAATTTCAGTGGCCATCACACAGAACTTATTCCATTAAAATGTTTCTGTTCCATGTTGTATCAGTCTCATGAAACCAGATCCCCTCATTGCATATTATGTGCAAAACATTTTGCCATCTGGTGTTATGACTGAGAACATTAGCTCAGCGGTACAATTTGTTAAATTGTTTGCTGGAACATTAGTTTCCTCTGTGACAACAAGCAAGCATTGACAAACATCAAAGTATTAATCACATTTTTATTTAGGTTTTTACATTAGACCTCCAGGTTCCTACAACTTTATATATATTGACTTATGTACATTGACATAGGACATTAATTACATATTTACTGCATTTTATGGACAAAAATAGTCTGTATCACGTGTAGGTTATACCCGTATTTTTGGTTGTATAATTTGTAATAAAATGTTACATTTGTATAGGTACATTAACACAAGGTATGTACAATTTTCTCATTTGAATGAATCAGAATGGTTACTGATACACCTCTTTCTTCTTTTGTAGGTCTGAGTGCGGCAGCAGGTATTGGTGTGGATGACCTGCGGAGGTTGTGTATCCTAAGGCTTAGTTTTGTGAAAGGCTGGGGACCTGACTACCCCAGACAATCCATCAAAGAGACTCCCTGCTGGATTGAGGTAAACAAGTGTAGTTTGAATTGTTCCCCTTATCTATACTGCTTTATGAATTAGCATGGTCTAGTAACAGTTTATTTAACTGTGGTGTTTTCTTCAGGGTTTTCATATCTGCATTTATTTGTGGTTTGTTTAATGTTGCTTTCAGTAGCTATAGTGTCAAATTATAGGTTGATTATTGAATAATGAATTTAAAAAGATGTGGAAGAAAGCTGTCATGGTCTGAGTTAAAATACTATCTCAGCATCTGCTGAGAGAGACTGAGGCAAATCATAAGAATCTCTGGATCACCAGTTTCTTGGCCAAGATTTGAACCTAGGACCTCACAGACATGAGGCAGGTTTGCTAACTACTCAGCTGATGCTTTTGGTTTATGCATGTAGTTGTGGAAAATGTTTGTGATGTTTTTGAATCACCTAAAAGTGATGAGGATGAAAGATGATTTATATAGAAAACAGGAGATAGGAGATGCATGGAGAACAGGAATGGCCTTTTGAAGAGCCCTAGAAGGAAGGAATGAATTTTGTTCCAGAAAGGAACATAATAAGAATTGATCAGTTATTTCAGTCAAGTGGATATCGCTCAAATGTCATATTTGGGAGGTACTGGGTTTAAACCCTAGCCAGGAGATTGGCTGTCCTGATTGAGATTTTTTGTGATTTTCTGAAGGAAAATGTCAAGATAGTATTTTAAATTAGGCTGTGAACACTTCATTCCATTTCCTTTACTGACTGTTCTGTTGTTTGCCACTAGCAATTGAAGACATATTAGTAAACAAGAATAAGGATAAGTGTTATCTTTGTCCACCGTTCAGTGCATTAGTGAATTGGCTTGAGGGAGTGGCCTTTGCTGTTCATGTTGTTTGGATGAAGCTCAGTCTCCTTTGCTTCTCTGTTTTATGGTCCATCATCCCAGTCTGTTACAAGATGCTTGATGTCTTTCTTCTTATGAATTTAAACCATATAATGAAACATATTTAATTGTAATAACACTCATTCTTTCATTGTTGACATGGAAGTGTAAGAATTTAATGCTTTGAGGGGTAGGGGTAAATTCATTTGCTCAATTTCATGTGCAGGAGATATGTTTAAACTAAGGGAAAGAATAATTATAGAGATGAATGATGTGGGAACTGCTTTGTTCAGATGCATTCCTCCTGTTTGCAGGTACACTTACATCGTGCTTTACAGCTGCTGGATGAGGTTCTTCACACGATGCCAATTGACGGGCCTCGAGGCATAGAGTGAATGTGAGATGTACTTCTATACTCAAACTGACATAATGCACTGCCATATGTATTTATACTCATCACACTGAATCATGACATGTGATGTTATTGACAGTAGAGCAGTCTCATTTGTTGGTAGGGGTGGGAGTGATAGGGCTTTTTCAGTTGTTATAATTTTTATTTAATATTACTGACATTAGCCTTTAAAATAGTGATTTTTCTCTTTCTTCCAGTTCAGTGTAAAGGTTTTCACCATAAAAGATGTTGTTTGGAACTATGTTCTTTGAGACACAAACTTCATACATTTTATATGTATGAGTATGGGATTGTGGCTGTTGCCATTTCTTACTCCATTTCTATTCTCTTCAGTCATGCCAGTCTCCTTGAAATCCCATACGTTACATGGTTCCTTGACATTTTCCTTCCATCTTCTCTTTCGTCTACCTTCCTACTTTTTGTACACGCCCAATTGTATCTTATTTGCCAGTCTATTTCCCCTATCCTCTGCAAGTGTCCACACTATATATTCACTACTTTCATCAGTCAATCCTTCCACTTCCATTTTCTGCCTCGTTTCATTATGATTTAATTAATTGAAATAAGGAACAAAAGTTGAAATCCTTCTGAATTGAAGTGTGTGGGAACTGGAAGTTGCAGTGAATGGTTTGTTACATCACATGGTGTTAGAATATGAATTTTATATGAGTTTGAAGACTTGCAGATAGTTATAGTTCAGTCTGTTCAGAAGATACATTGGACATTATTTTTGCCCATAATATGAATTGTTAGTGTTACTGACTTAAAGGGTTACTTAAACAGCATTGTTCCGTAAGTGCAGCATTCTGTACGTAGATATGTGCCATGTCTATTACTCTAATAATTTTTTTAAGTTGTTCAGTACAGATGAAATCTGTGTTGTTATGATTAATAGTTTTATGTTAATCAGAATGTACGAGTGAGCCTGAGAGAATGATACCTAGGAGACTTATAGATACAGCATTTTTGCTGTCCCTTTTCTTAATATTGACTCATTTGCAAAGGAGTATTGACATAACCAAAATTTAGTTTTATCATGATTACAGTGAAACCTCTATCCATTGTTCCCCGAACTGTTGTTCTCCTGGATGCATTGTCCGTTTTGTTCGGTCCCTGATAACGTCCCATATAAAATAATGTTACATTTTCTCACTTCTATCGTTCCTCGAACTATTGTTTTATCGCATCAATCGTTCAAAACTCTTAGTCCTGGCCCACATTTTCTCACAATGATCGTTTCTGAGAAATTGTAACGAAATTTACGCGATGTTTTTAGAATTTAAAATGCTGGGTTTTGAGATAAATTAATACCGAAAGACACACAATGCTTTTGGAATATACAGTAGCGGTAACCTGTTATGTCGCCCAACCAGCAGATTCTTTTGGAATGAGGGGTCAGTGGTGTGGTGGTGATAGTTGGAGTGAATGGCGTTGCTCATTGTCAGAAATTTTATGAGTTTAATTAGGGTGCACTCATATTTCATTCCAGCAGTGCCAGATGGCATGTGCAGTGTGAATTTCTTCAGGAATGCTTTCATTATAAGTACAAAGGAAAGGTGGGCGACACTTTTCATTCTTCTGGTTCATCTCGTTTCCAGTGGTTAAGTGTCTTTTACAGCTACATTTCATTGAGTTCGGCAGTAATAGTATTATCTGTTCATATTTCTGTTCTTCCTGTTATTGTTCCAGTCTATATATTTTTTGTTGTTCCCGTAAATATTTTGTTATTCCTGTTACTCCTGTTAATTATTTTGTTATTATTCCTGTACCATGTCTCGCCCAGTAAAGCAAGTCAGAACTCTTCAAGAAAGAAGAATTGGAGAAGAATCCATTTGAAAAAAGAATCGACATTGCTACAGCATCTTGCGGGAAAAAGCCAAGACGATAGCCTCAAGACTGAATATTGAAAATTTTGCATCGAATGGATGGATTACTAGATTTAAAGAACGACGTGGCATGGTTTATAAGAAGTTAGCCGGCGAAAGTGCTGCTGTGGATATGGAAAGAATGGAGCTGTGGCTCGAGAGACTGCCAACACTGCTGGAGGGATACGAGCCGCGGGACATTTATAATGCGGATGAGACTGGACTTTTCTACAACGCCCTCCCAGATAGGACACTGGCATACGCATAATATTAGTGAACGTGGAAAGGGCTCTGTTTGGCCTAAAACATAAAGTTTTGACAAACCAGTTGTCCATTAAAGACATTTTTGGTAAAAATAAGTAACTTTGAAAGAGAAAAGTTAACTTTTTTTAAAAATTTTAATGCTTTTCTGCAACTATCGTTTTCCCGTATTTATCGTTTTTATTTCCCACCCCCGCCAAAAACGATGCATCGAGGTTTCACTGTACACACCAGTTCAGTAATAACTATTTTACCTGATGTTGCACATTATATGCCTTCAGGCTTTTGTATGTAATGCTCCCTAATGATGAACTCAGATATTTTAATGTAAATAGTGTGTGTTGCTTTGTTTTGTGAATATTCGTTATTAAAGTTCAAAATTTAAAGATGGAATCTCAGATTTTAAAATTGCACTAAAACTGTATTTTATAAATTTATCTATTTAAAAATATGTAACTATTTAGCTTTCATATGTTGCATGGTCTTTTGTCACTCAAATAATTACATATGAAAATTGTTATTTTCCAAAGAAGCAAACTGTAATTAAAATACAAATTGGGAGTTTTCTTTTGTAAACTTTGAAGTAATATTTGGCTGTGAGATGAGCATAATTGAGCTTATTTACAAGTTTAATTTGTAGCCTGGTAAGAATAAAGACATAATATTGTGATTATGTTAAGAATAGCATAAATTTTATCTAATATTGTCTTACAACTTTTTAAATGGTCATATTTCTATATTTGTTGTTTTGCCCCAGATTTGTCAGATGGCTGACTTTGTTAATATAGTAATAAGTTTAAAAAAATTGTCTGTGAGATTATTAAAGTCAACTAGTGCAAACAAGAAACAGCACAGAAAGGTATGGGCATGATCTGTTGTCAAAGCATCAGGGAAACAGGATAAGATGGCTGTCTTCTGGGTTGTTGTCCTGTGTATCTGGTAGACATTTACTGACATTTCAGAGGTACTTGCTGCCTCCATCATTAGGACAGTGTCACACAGCACAGTAATCCAGAAGAAAGCCATCTTTAGGATAAAACTGTTGGCATAAGTTCAACTTTAAAATTTAGAATTGGTTATGAAAGCAAAAAGAACAGTATCATATTCTAAGATATATGTAATTAAGGAAAAACATAATGGTGTGATGTAGGATCATCATGACCTTATTCATGTAGACAAAATGCTCAGTGTCACAACTCAGAAGGGTCAAATTTAGTATTGTGCCAGAGATCCTCAAATCCAATCATTTAGGTTGTGCAGACCAGGAGTTCTTAACCTTTACCAGATCTGATACCACATTTACTATTATTGACTCGTGGACCATGAGGTTATAAATGAGGATAGTTTATTGAAATTCCATATCAGTTTAGTATAATAATGCTTTGGCCTGCTATTGCAAACAGGTTCACATAATACTCTGTAAATTTCTTAACGGTCATTTATTGTTAAGATATGTGACACAGCTTTAATTTGAGTAACACTTCAGTATGAGGTTTTCTGTTGAAATTTGCATGAATCCTTCCAGGTGTTCTCAGTACATGCCCTAGTTCTTGAATTCACATTCGCCATTAAACTGAACAGTTGCTAGATGTACTGCTAAATACAGATGACATTAACAAAGCATGTTTTCTGATATAAGGTAAATATTTTTAATCATCCAGTGTCACAAAACTGCTTGCAGGTTGCACAAAACACATCAGCGAACCACATGTGGGCCACAAGTTGAGAACCCCTAGTGTAGATGGTATTAAGATTAAAATGCTTCCATTGGAAGATTCCCATGGAAGTGTACAAAATGCCTCTTAATTTGTATCTGTCATGTAGGATTTAATATTTCCTGTTGGCCTACATCACATGCCATGGCAAGTGGAAAATATATGGGTATGATAACTTCTGGACTTTGACTTTGTATGATTAACATCAACATTCTTGTGGGCACAGAGAGACAACCTTTTCTTCTTAAGATTCCAGGAACATAGATACCAGCAGCAAGCATTACTTTATAGTAACATTGGGGTTACCTGCTAACCCTTCATTTTCATGGTGGAACTGAGAAAAATCATTAAACCTTTCAGGCAGGATACCTGCATTTTTAACTGCTAACCTCCCAAGTAGAAGCCATATGTTCAGTTGAGAGAAGGTAAGAAACTAATAGGTAGTTAGGACTTCTTTGACACGTGTGTGTACTTACCCCGACCTCATGAGAGGGAGGTGTGAACAATGGAACAGAGGTTTTGTATGTAAGGGTCATGGGCAACACAGCAGAAGTGCAGTACTCCTACCCTGGTATCAGCAAAAAATGCTCTTGTGTGAGAGACTGATTGATGCTGCATGTGTCAGCTTATTTTCACATGTGTACAGTTGGTGTTGTGTATTTTCATGGAAAGTATTGGGTGTCACAGGGAACAACCTAGAAACACTCAGTACATACCAGCAATGTTGCTTTATCAGAATCCAGGTTGCATGAGAGCAAAATGAATGCCATTGTCACAAGGACTGCATGAAGTCTGTGGGCAAGGTGGGGTTCACAAGTCAGGTGGTCAGTCAGAGCAATTGGTGTTGTGGCTGTAAGGACTTTGTCAGTTACAGACTGGCAATAGACATGTTAAACATTCATGTGAAATTGCTGGTGCATCATCCATGATCAATGCAGTATTAATGAAAATGGATAAAATCTACGCTTGATAGGGTCTCGTGTAGTATGGCAAGGCTTAGGTGTGGAATGCACAGAAACTGCCAATTTGAATTTAGTCTTTTGCAGATGTTTGGGTTACAGGAGCCAGGAAAAGTGAAGATAATATTGATTGTTGCCCATGATTATGAGAGCATTCTCATGCCTGTCCCTTCTGTAACTATGGTAAACGCTGCATATTAGTGGAGCAACCTGGTACAATGTACACACTTCTGCAGTAAGGCCCTGCTGTGCAGCACAGCAATGCTTGAAATCATGTGGTCAAGATAGTGATTGATCTGTGAAAACAGTGGAATTAGGAGACATGAAATCTGTGCTAATGACAGCAAAAATACATTGATCTTTTTCAAATAAAACAAATTGATATTTATTTTATCTGACTGCTTGGTTATTTAGGAGAAGCCTTATTTCAGAAAGTCTGATGTTGAAGTATCAAAGAACATCTGGACAAAAGAGAGGCCTTGAGAATTGAGAGTGCTTGTGAAGATGAGTCTTAGGGAATCCTTGTGAGGAATAAGCTCCATGTAAATGAAAGTGCATGGGAAGAACCGTGTGATCCTTCGTAGAAGTAAGTTTAAATGATACTGGAAAAACATGCATGTGATATTGAATCCTGTCTAGAAATAGACTCATGTAAAATTGGAGTGCCTGGGAAGAAACATTTATGTCATAGGCAATCTAAACTAAGAATAGATTGAAAGTGGGGAGTACCTGGGAACAAACATGTTGAGCATAGGAATACTCATTTAAGCAGTAAATAAATAGTGCCTCTTTATTGTGGATGGATAAAAATGGTTGTGTGTTGGACTGTAGTGTTTTCTGTGTACAGGCTGCTGTTCTCAAAACATAAACCAACAATGTTATAATGACAAACTAAAAGCTCTAAGTTTTATAAGACTACTCAAACAGAATGAAAAAAACTCGGTGGGATCATATATTGTTTAACACTTACCATCTTCAGAAGGGGTCAACAACCTTTTCATTATCAAGCCTCACATTTGCTGTTCATATCTTGGTTGAGGGCCAAAGAAAAAATTAACAATGTTGTGGACAGTAAGTGAAACTATTCACTTGAAAACAGATAATTGCAGTATTTCTCCATACAGCTGAGTTTATTTTACAAGCTTTTAAACAGTTTTGATTTCATGTCCTTGTTAATTATTAGTTGTATAAGTTATTAACATCACAGTAATTTTCTTGTTGTTTTGTTAAATTGTGTATGGTTTGAATGATGGAACAACATACCTTTGCACAGTAATGTGATTTAACATTATAGGTCTACATATACAAAATGTTTATATATTTTTTTTATTGCCCTTGTGCTTAGATAATATGTGTGTATATATCAGTGTTCCTAAGCAGCAGAAAGTTTTTGCCCTTTTTGTTTTGGCTAATTCCCAAATCATGTGAAGGCTGGAGGGGAGGAAGTTGTAATTGAAGAGTACTTGGAAGGACTGAGTGAAGTCAAAACAATTTTTTGATTTTTATCATTGTGTTGATCAAGATCCAAACTATGTACCTGTCATCTAACAAAATGTTTGGTGGAAGTATATGAATATTCACACACTGTCTTGTCAAGTAATCTCACATTTAGTGTGATGGTTGCTCATTTATTATATGAGGCAAAAATTAAATGACCAAATATGCTGAAATGTAATTCTTTGATTTGGAATCAGCAGTAATAGTGATACAACATACTTTATACTCACTTTGAGTATGCATGGTGGAAACAGCAAATGAATACATTTTGTTTTGAAATCCTCCCTGGAAGACCATTTGGAAAACATATAAATATTAAAATTAATCATGGAGAAATAGGTTGAGAATGAACCAGCTGAGAACAATCTAATGGCAGGTTTTGTTATCACAATGATGAACTTTGGGCAGTCCATTGTAAATTTCTTGATTGGATAATTGAGTTTTATCTGCTGCTCAAGGACATCCATGCACAATGGAGTTAATTACTTGGCTCTAATCTGTGGTAGCAACTCCTAAAGGAAAAGTTAACACGAGTATCAAAATCTTTCCATAATTATGAGCACATAATTCCTTTTAATCACAATAGATGTTACAAAATGTTACAAGCCACTGACCCTTCTGGACCAGTCACAAAGTGGCTATTGATTCAGCTGAACCAGTAATAAGTAGGTGGCTTGTACTGAAGTGTGTTTTGCTGTTAAAGATTCATGGAATAAGGGGCTTGTTTCTATTTGAAAAGTTAGTTTTTCTGTTTGTAATTTTCCCTTTATGTTTATAAGGTGTGAGATTCCACAGTATTGTTGACAGTTATGTCTCATTTCTTGATTGAAAGGCTATTCTTTGTGCTTTGCAAGATGCTAAGTTTGATTTCATTGTGAAAGCTGAATTTCTAACATACTTTGAGACACAATTATACCTGCGTGTTAAATCTTGTTTTTATGTGTGTGTGTTATTGTGTTATGTTCCTTTCAGTATGTAATGGAAATCTGTAAAAAGTGTTTTGCACATGGATGCATGTATAACTATAGGCAGCAAGCCTCAAAATTTTCAGATTTCCTATGAATCCTTAGTTCTTTTTTATTCAGTCACATAATGCCCTTATTTTGTAACTTTTATGGAGATATTAAAGAGACGAGGTAGAAGGGAGGTGGAAGAGAAAATACCGCATTCTTTGTAAATGTGAAGTTTACATTTACTGAATATCTTTAATCAAAATATCAGGGGACTAAGGTGCAAAAGTGATGAATTATGTCATACAGACATAAATATAGGCTGTCTTCATGAAAACAGCCCCAAAAACTCATTATAAGCCCATACAATTTGTATCATACTGTAAATTTGACAAGAATTCAAGATGACTAAAGTATCACAATTAATCTGGAAAAACATGCATGTGATATTGAATCCTGTCTAGAAATAGACTCATGTAAAATTGGAGTGCCTGGGAAGAAACATTTATGTCATAGGCAATCTAAACTAAGAATAGATTGAAAGTGGGGAGTACCTGGGAACAAACATGTTGAGCATAGGAATACTCATTTAAGCAGTAAATAAATAGTGCCTCTTTATTGTGGATGGATAAAAATGGTTGTGTGTTGGACTGTAGTGTTTTCTGTGTACAGGCTGCTGTTCTCAAAACATAAACCAACAATGTTATAATGACAAACTAAAAGCTCTAAGTTTTATAAGACTACTCAAACAGAATGAAAAAAACTCGGTGGGATCATATATTGTTTAACACTTACCATCTTCAGAAGGGGTCAACAACCTTTTCATTATCAAGCCTCACATTTGCTGTTCATATCTTGGTTGAGGGCCAAAGAAAAAATTAACAATGTTGTGGACAGTAAGTGAAACTATTCACTTGAAAACAGATAATTGCAGTATTTCTCCATACAGCTGAGTTTATTTTACAAGCTTTTAAACAGTTTTGATTTCATGTCCTTGTTAATTATTAGTTGTATAAGTTATTAACATCACAGTAATTTTCTTGTTGTTTTGTTAAATTGTGTATGGTTTGAATGATGGAACAACATACCTTTGCACAGTAATGTGATTTAACATTATAGGTCTACATATACAAAATGTTTATATATTTTTTTTATTGCCCTTGTGCTTAGATAATATGTGTGTATATATCAGTGTTCCTAAGCAGCAGAAAGTTTTTGCCCTTTTTGTTTTGGCTAATTCCCAAATCATGTGAAGGCTGGAGGGGAGGAAGTTGTAATTGAAGAGTACTTGGAAGGACTGAGTGAAGTCAAAACAATTTTTTGATTTTTATCATTGTGTTGATCAAGATCCAAACTATGTACCTGTCATCTAACAAAATGTTTGGTGGAAGTATATGAATATTCACACACTGTCTTGTCAAGTAATCTCACATTTAGTGTGATGGTTGCTCATTTATTATATGAGGCAAAAATTAAATGACCAAATATGCTGAAATGTAATTCTTTGATTTGGAATCAGCAGTAATAGTGATACAACATACTTTATACTCACTTTGAGTATGCATGGTGGAAACAGCAAATGAATACATTTTGTTTTGAAATCCTCCCTGGAAGACCATTTGGAAAACATATAAATATTAAAATTAATCATGGAGAAATAGGTTGAGAATGAACCAGCTGAGAACAATCTAATGGCAGGTTTTGTTATCACAATGATGAACTTTGGGCAGTCCATTGTAAATTTCTTGATTGGATAATTGAGTTTTATCTGCTGCTCAAGGACATCCATGCACAATGGAGTTAATTACTTGGCTCTAATCTGTGGTAGCAACTCCTAAAGGAAAAGTTAACACGAGTATCAAAATCTTTCCATAATTATGAGCACATAATTCCTTTTAATCACAATAGATGTTACAAAATGTTACAAGCCACTGACCCTTCTGGACCAGTCACAAAGTGGCTATTGATTCAGCTGAACCAGTAATAAGTAGGTGGCTTGTACTGAAGTGTGTTTTGCTGTTAAAGATTCATGGAATAAGGGGCTTGTTTCTATTTGAAAAGTTAGTTTTTCTGTTTGTAATTTTCCCTTTATGTTTATAAGGTGTGAGATTCCACAGTATTGTTGACAGTTATGTCTCATTTCTTGATTGAAAGGCTATTCTTTGTGCTTTGCAAGATGCTAAGTTTGATTTCATTGTGAAAGCTGAATTTCTAACATACTTTGAGACACAATTATACCTGCGTGTTAAATCTTGTTTTTATGTGTGTGTGTTATTGTGTTATGTTCCTTTCAGTATGTAATGGAAATCTGTAAAAAGTGTTTTGCACATGGATGCATGTATAACTATAGGCAGCAAGCCTCAAAATTTTCAGATTTCCTATGAATCCTTAGTTCTTTTTTATTCAGTCACATAATGCCCTTATTTTGTAACTTTTATGGAGATATTAAAGAGACGAGGTAGAAGGGAGGTGGAAGAGAAAATACCGCATTCTTTGTAAATGTGAAGTTTACATTTACTGAATATCTTTAATCAAAATATCAGGGGACTAAGGTGCAAAAGTGATGAATTATGTCATACAGACATAAATATAGGCTGTCTTCATGAAAACAGCCCCAAAAACTCATTATAAGCCCATACAATTTGTATCATACTGTAAATTTGACAAGAATTCAAGATGACTAAAGTATCACAATTAATAATATTTTTGTGGATAATATAAAACTAAGCTCATCTACATTTACCATAATAAATTCAACTACTATAGTATATTTGAAACAGAGAACTGGAAAAATAATGACTGTCATTCAGTTTCAAATTCTACTAAAACACTAAACTTGGGAAACTGTTGAAAAAAGACAGTTGTACCAAAAATAAGTTTAATTCGTTTTGTTATAAAGAGGGTTGTCTTCTGTGTTATTGCACTGTGTAGTCTGGTAGAATGGTGCAACATTCTAGAGATGGCCAGTTCATGTTACAACCATGAGAACCTCAAATCTCACTGATTTACGTATACTTTTCTGTCGTATTTGAAGCCAGTTTTCTGATTAAATATGAAAGTATGCACAAGACAATGGACTGGATTACATAATATAAATATCTTACAAACAGCACGTAACTTGGTAAAATAGGAAACAGGAAAAATACATTTAACTGAACAGATGCCCTCTTTTTATATACAATAAAAAGTTAAAGGGTCCAGAAAAGATGCTGATGCCTTAAGTAGTTACTTTCTAACAATACCAGAAAGATTAAGTCTACATGAATTAGGGAAAAAGACGCGATTTAATTTTTAACATTCATTAACAATAAATTCCTTGGTTTAAAAATGATTCCAACAACTGAATATGAAGTTAGTTGAAAATATAATTCCTTAAAAAATTGTCAGCTTGTGACAAAATAACAAATAAAATTCTGACAACTCGTTCTCATCTAATTAATCACTCATTAAGTAAAGTAAACACTCCTTTATTTCCTACATAGTTTAACTAATAATACCATTTCCAATTATTTTTCCATTTGTTCCATTCTTTTTGTATGTCATTTCCATTTGTTCATTCTGTTTTAATTTGATGACCGGATTAGTAATTGAAATGTAATTTCGTTTGTGGCCTAAGTAGTTTACAAACTGCGGTTCTCATAAATTTCACTTTCTATTGTGGTTTAGTCAAGATGGGAAAAAATTGTGTATGTGCAAGAAATAGTTAGTCTTTTAATCAGCTGAGCTAATGTAGCCACCAACCGTGACACTAATAACTGATAGATGGCAGACATGGAATTGCGGATAGTAATGCATCATCTAAGGATGTTGGTAACAAAGTGGAAGAGACGATACTTCATGAAGTTATTGTATGTCAGATGTGAGCTGTCGAAGCAAGTCTGCACGTTTGGTGTTAAATGGATAATTAAGTGGTGTGTACGAGTGACTTCGTAATATAATACTATCAATTAAATGTTTTTTAGGCGCTTTGTTGGTTGTCGTTTTAGAGACAATTCTCATTGTATAATTTATACATGTAACCGTATCAAGTTTTGCGTCAATTGTGTTTACAAGCTGACAAAAGAGAAACTGGATAGAATAGTTCGTGAATTATAAAAAATTAAACTCATATTCAACATGCCAGAAACAAAACTGAAACCTTTATACATTGGCAAATCAATTTCAGATTTGAAAGTTTTATACAACGTTGATGAATTTATTAAAGGAAAAAAAGCAACAATGTAAGTAATTTTGATGTTATATACATTATTGGGTTTTAACGTTGGAAATAGGATTAGTGTGTGAAATGATGTTAACGCTTCATTTTGCAGGCTCTGTAATTCAGCCGACAAGTTGCTTGAAACAGCCAAAAAATGTAGGCGTTCTGGTGATGAGGAATTGAGTTACGTTCAGTACATGAAATATCTCACTGTGGTGACCGTGATTCAGAAATCACATGAATATCAGAAGGAAAAGGACTATTTGAATAACTTACTTGGTTCACAGAATGTAAAAACTGCATTAGATATTACAGAGAAGCTTGCCATCAGTTTGGAACAAAGGTGAATGTAATATTTGTATTATTTACATTTGTTTTGTTTTCCTTTTAATGTCTGACTTCTTCTTCTTCCCGAGCTCTACAGTCTGACATTTACATGATATGTGGGTACACTTTTTTTCTACATTGCAGTTGTAAGTTAGGTTAAGTTAATTTTTTGTTTAATTATATCTGATTTTTGGTGATTGAAACTCCTTTAAATAAGATCTGTCAACATTTGCATTTAATTTTAGAGACTGTAGTAACAGTACACAAGCATTTTCAGTACTTTCCATTTTGCTTTATAATAGGATTCTGAGAACATGCTGACTTAGTGAGCTGGGGTAGCCTATTCAAAGTACTGTCTGACTGTTGACTGAATGATGGGTTCGATCCCCAGCAGGATCCATTTAGCATGTGTGTTCAGTTCAGCTCTTGTATCCACCCAGTCTCATATCCAGTGGGTACTGGTATTTCTTTCTCTGAAAAGGGGGGCATAAAGTGCAGCCAGGGGGTTGGTGACTACTCACCCCCATCTGTTGCTGGGGTCACTAATGAGTAGGAGCTATACTGCTATTCACACAAGCACCTCCATCATGGCATGCAGTGAGACAGCTTTATTTTTACTGTTAACTAGTAAATTTGTTACAGAATTTCATTCAAATTGGGTCTCTTTTAGGTTTATCTTTTCATTGTGCACATATTCAGTTTTGGTGTTGTGAACTTCCCTCCATCTGCCATTCCCTTCTATGTGCATTTAGCTCCACTTACTGCTGTCACATGTTCCAGAGCTTAGTGGTGCTAACATAAGACAATTGCCTGAAAGAAAGGTGTGTAAAGAATGACTATTGAATAGAACAATAACCATGCAAATAAAAGAACATTAGAGTATGACAGCAGGATGGTATGATATAAACTTATAGGACAGAAGTCTGATGTCACCACTACCATTTTTATGTGTAATCCCCACTCTTAGTGTATGTTAAGATTGGTTTCAGATTTAATTTATATGGAAAAATCAGTATATTTTATATAGTGTACTTGTAGCAGTATGGCGAGTGTCAGTTTGATATCAAGAGTGGTTGAGTGCACTTATGATTAATATTTAATTTTGTTTCCATGTACTTGTTGAAGATGTGCTCTTGAGTGGAGTAGAGTAAAACTGATGAACTATCCATGCCCATTAATAATACATACTCATCACATATTCTATGTTTAACTGAACACCATATGAAACTGCCAGAGATCTTACAGATCAATCTTGACAATTATATTTTAGGAACTAGTTACTGTAAACAGAATATGGCAAAAGGAGGAGTGAGTATTTTTGTCAGAAATAATCTAAAATGTAGTCAGTTAAATGTACTGCATCACTGCAAAGAACAAGGCATAGGATGCTGTGTTGTGCAATTGGAATCTAAACTCTCCAACATTTATGTCTTAGCTATATACAGAGCTACCACAGGTAATTTTGAACTTTTCTTATCTTTATAAACCTACAGCAGAATTTGTCATGTGGCAACATTAATATTAATAATCTTACCGAAAGTTACCACAAACAATGTCTAAACTCCCCACTATCATCTTTCAATCTCATCTCAGTTGTTAATTTCTCCACAAGAATTCAAAATTACTCTAGTCCTGTTATTGACAGTGTTTTTATAGACAGTTCCAAAAAATATCATATTTGTATTGAACCAGTGACAAATGGGATATCTGATCATGATTTCTGGTTATAAAAATATAGAATCAGTCTCCAATTACAATTACAGGAAATGAATCAGACTTGTCAGTGAAGACACTAACTAACTAACTAACTGACTCCCTGGTAGCAGAACCTGCAGGTCCAACACCGACAACACCAAAGCCTGCCACCGGCCACAATCCTGAGCAAACTGCATCCATTTACCATCCTCACAGCCCACTTCCCTAAGATCAAATACACTATTAAAGAATTTATAACATGTCTAAGAAATGAGAAGTGGGATTCAGTATTAAACAGCCATGATGTAGATTCAAAATTCGACACATTTCAAAATATCTTCTTAACAATTTTTGAAGCAAGTTTCTTGACTAAAACAGTGAAAATGATATCTGAAAGTAATGTGTGGATTACTAAAGGCATCAAAACATCTTGCAAACATAAATTAGATCTTACCTACATTGTCAGTCTAGTAACAACCAAATAATGAAAATTCACTACAGGTATTATTGCAAGATAGTCAAGGCATTAAAGAGGCTAAACATATGCATTACAATAAACAGATACTAGAGTAAAATAATTGACAGTGGAACCATGGTTCCAGAGAATCTGACGTAAATACGTCTCTGTATTTAAATTATATTTAAGCAATAAATACAATGAAAGGAAGGTAGCTGAATGCAATGTAAGGAAATGTAATGTAATGAAATGTAATGTCAAAATTATCTAGTCTACAACGCACTTCTTCTACAAGCAATTCACAGCTCAGCTCTTTCCGCAATAACGAAAGCAGATTGTTGACTGCAGTAATGTAACACAACAATGCCTAGTAAACAGATGACGTTTCCTAGGTAACACAACAATGCGCACAAGCTGGTCATTGTTGTCGGTCCATATTTACACATTGTTGATATGTATCTTACACGTTTTCCTAGGTAACCATTGTTGTCTATTTGTTGATATGGATCTTACACATTTTCGTTACACGTTTTCACTTTTTTGCCGAATGACCCTTCTGTATAGACGTATTTACGTCAATAATAAAATTAAAGCAGTATGGAAAATACTAAGGAAGGAAACTTAAATATTCTACAGAAGAAGTAACCCCATTAATAAAGAGAAATGATAATGCAATAAAAAATCCTAAACTCTTAGCAGATCATTTCAATACTTCGTAACAATTATATAAAGAATGAACAATGACACTATTATGTTCACACAAAGTTTCAGATGCATGTAAGACTTGAGGTTCTCAAAGCGGTGAGTATGAAGATTTCCGTCTTCTGGGTTGTTGCGCTGTGTAGTCTGGTCGATGTTAACCAACGTTTCAGAGGTCATATTGCCTCCGTCATCAGGGCCCTGATGACGGAGGCAATATGACCTCTGAAACGTTGGTTAACATCGACCAGACTACACAGCGCAACAACCCAGAAGACGGAAATTTTCAGATGCATGTTTTCTATCTTTATATCACTGCTAAAGTATAAAATGGTTGTGTAGAGTTGCCTGATGATGGACTATATGTGTTGTATTTCTCTCAGTGCTTTAAATGTAATGTGTATTCAATTAATTGGCTTTGATTTACAGGTATAAGTTACTGAATGAGCAACAGAAAATTGAAGCTGAACAATTAGTTGAAGAAGAAAGAGAGGCAATGGAAGAGCTGAAAAGAAAGCAAGTTAATTTGGAAAAACCAACTGAAGATACCAGTCTAGTCAATGGAATGCCAGGTGGTGTAAATTTAAACTATCTGACTTATACTGGGAACTACGTATTATAAAGTGGAATGTGCTTAAAGTACATTTGGATAAGTACAGTATGTTGCAGAAATTGTAACTTGTAACAAAAAGTCTGTAGAATGATTTGGACCACAATCATCAAATTTTTACGCTTATCATTGTTGTGTTACAGTTTAATGATTGTACATTTCTATAGTTATCGTCAAACCGATCTCCTGTGTGTGCATTCCATATGGTTTTCCCAATTTTAGTTTGATTTATTGGAAACTTGCATATCTGCATGATACATGCTGCACTAATATACCAGTTTATTTGTCACACACAGTTAAGTAAACTTATGCAGAACTGAATGTGGCTTGACATGGAAAAGTAAGAACACATAGAAGAAGAGAGATCCCAATGGAAGTGTGTGAATGAGAATACCTGACCTGTCCTCTGTACTGTGGTAGCTTAATCAGTGTCAGGCTTTGGACCCTGGTCAGGGTTTAGTTCCTGGCAGAATATTTCTCTTCATTGCTGCATTCAGAATGTTACGGAGCCAACCTAGTAACCTCTATGACAGACCAAGGATTTTACTAATTTTTTCATTTATTTACATCTGATACAGAAGTTAAGAGTGGAAGTTTTACTTCCATGCTTCCTGAATATCTTCACAGTAAACTAAACATGGGAATAAGTTTTCCTTTTACACATTTACATCGTTGATGCAACATTCGGGAAAAATCTGAAAAACTGGATTTTTTTGGAATGTAGCATGAGATATAAAACTGTCTCTCCCTGTTCACATTTGCATGCATATGTTCTTTATGCATGCATTCTTGCCAATGAAATCATTTGTGTAATAATAGCCTCTTCCTTTCTCAGCAAGCTGTTTATTATTACCTTAAGTTAAGGTTTAAATTATATGTGTGTTTAACTAGGTTAATTTTCTTATTAGGTGCAAATGATGTTAGTATATCAAGCAGACAGCTGTATTCTCTGTTAAATGAAAAAAAAATGAACATTTTAATTCTTGATTCTCGGCCAGCCACATGTTATGCTGAGTCCCGTATGACTGTTGGAAACTGTATAAATGTTCCAGAAAAAATTGTGGAAGCAGGGTGAGTATCTTACTTTGAAAGTGAGTAAATAATTTTAACATTTTTGTTAATCATTAAAAGCATTTACATTTAATTAATGCAATAATGAATATAACACATTAATGTATTTACACATAATTAATGCATAATGTTCATACACTTTTAACTAATACAGGAAATATGAGACTGCAGCCCAAAGCATTTCTGTAGTTTACATTTTGGCCTATGTGAACTTACAAGTTGTGCAGGCCTGTTCTATAGAAACTCATTTTTGTCATTTATTTGCAACTATCAATATATTAAATAAAGGAGATCTTAATTAAAACAATGTAAATTAGTAGTAGTAATTATGTGACAGGTTTTATGTTGTGCAAGGTACTCTTCAGATATTTTTTGAGTTAATCCATGAAACTAGAATCCAGAATAGGATTGTTGTCTTGCCATATCTGATGGATTTGTTATGTATTATTCTCATATTGCTGGCTTTTCCACTAGATATATTTATTGTATGCATTCATGTTTCTTGCATTTGGTGTCAATGATGTGGCTCATTTGCACTATGTAGACTTGATAAAGTAATTATTACTTGAAAAAGTTTTCTTAGGGTTTGGCCTTATATTAAATTTACTTGAAAGTCTGAATAGATCAGAGGTATCTTGTTTGATGATGATGTGTATTATGAAGTAATATTTGATTAATTTAATTCTAAAGTCTATGTGCTATTAGATCAGTAAAATGGTAAAATATGCCAAGTTTGAATAAGTATAGCTTGGAAGAGTGAAGTGTGTAAGTGAAATTGGCACATTTTGTGTATTACATAGATTTAATCACTAAGATAACATTATTTTTCTTTGATTTAGCAGTTATTCAGTTTGAATTTTAATCCGTTGGTTACTTTCTGTAGGAGAAGTGCAGCAGCGTTGGAAAAGTCACTTCCTCCTGAATCAAAGTTGGCCTGGGGTAAAAGGAAAGATGCAGATTTGGTTGTTCTATTAGATTGGTTCACAACAGAGAAATCTCATCAGCCTGGAACCAATCTCTACACTCTTAAGAGTATTTTGATTAAGGTATGTAAACAAAGCCAAAATATTTTGGAAATGTTACTAAATAAGAACCCAGATAATACACATGAATTACTTTTGAACTTTCTGGTCATGACTGAAACTTCACTGTGATGTGTAATGTACCATTAGAAATTGATTCTCTGCCCTAAGAATAGTTTATCTTAAATGTTCTTCCATTGTTTTAATTTGATATATCTAAAATAAAAGGGAATGAGCAATGTGGCACAGCCAGGTGCACATCATTGAAACACCTGAGGGTGTTGCAAAAATTGAGCAAGCTGTGCAGACATATGTTGGAGCATTCATACACTCTCAACACAATTCAGAATGAGAGTCTGTACTTTGCACAAAATTGTGCACTGTCTGGGATATCACAAGTTGTGCACATAGTGGGTCTCACAAATGCTTACAGATGGTTGCAAGTAATAGCATATGGCACTATCACCATAGCATTTGCAGTGATACTGGATGGAAGGTGATGTGTTTTTGCTACAGATTGTGGCAGGTGATGCCACAACTTTAAACCCATGGGAAGAGCTGTAGCATGCTGTGAAAACACTTGTCCTTGCCTCACCGAAGAAAGTCAAGACCCACCCATCTGTGGGAAGAGTAATTTTGACAGTTTTCTTCAACATAAATGAAGTTAAATGATATTGGCATTCATGGATCTTGACATCAACATGAGCTACTGTGGAATCCATATGAGACCTTTGTATCATCACAAAGAGAAAGCATTCCACTATGCTCATGACCATCCTTATGTTTCCTAAAATGTCTAGGACATGCTGCATTTCAGGCACTGAAAGATGTTGGACCATCACTCTGTACCGTCTGGATCTGTTATTGTGTAACTTTATGTTTGGCCTCCTCATGAAAGCATTGGTTAGATTTGAGTTAGATGAAGACATCAAGGCCACAGTGATGCAGTAGTTCTAGAAGGTTTATCAGTTGGATGCCTGCCTTAGTGCCTATAACAAATTGTATGTTATTCAGTAAAATTAATCAGTTCTTTCATTTTGTCAGAATGCGTTATGGAAATTAAATTATCTAACTGAAAGTAGCAACATTTGATTAATTATTATATAATTAAAAATCAGAACTTTTCAAAAGCTTGACTGCTAAATCAGGTGACAAACCTTCTGAAACCCTTTATTTGACATTCTTTTCAGCTCAGTTGTTACACAATATTATTTTAATTTCTCTTTTTATTCATACAAACATGAGAACTCTGTATCTCAGCTTAATGGAGATAATGGTGGGTGCAACATTCCATTCTTATGTGTAATAATGATTGTGTTGTGGGAGTGACAAAGCTTTACAAGTAAATCTGATTACTGAAGAATTGGTCTATTTTCAGTGGGATCCTGATATCATCTATAAGTCTGCTCCACTTATTCTGGAAGGAGGTTATGAAGAATGGTTACTGAAATACCCCATGCTCACTACAAATTCTCAAGTGAAACCACCACATAATCCTGGTCTCTCAGAAATGGATGATCTGTTAGGTAATCTAGATAAGATTCAATTGAAAGGTGAACTTGTATGAGACATACAAGAACTGGAAGAGTGACTACATGAATGGTGAGGTAGGGTAAACAATATATGATAAAAGCTGCATTAATCAGGACCTAAAAATTCATAGGTTTTTAGTAATGACTGTTTCATATTCCTTCAATTTACATCTTTGTTGTACTGTAATATATACTCATGCTATCTGTAATGCAGTCTGAGTGAGCATTGTTTTGGGAAAGCCATCTTGTGTTTTGTATCTGCAGTGATTGTGATGTGTATTTTTGCACTACTGCCATTTTGCAGTACACTTATTGGTCTTGTTCAGAGAGGTTGTAAGTATTTTACTTGTGGCTGAACCATCCAGGGCCTTGGCTGTTTCTTGTGGTTGTATATTAGAATATTATTCTGGTGACCTGCTTATTATAACCTCCAATATTCCTATTGACAATTATGGACAGAAGAGGAAAAATACTAATGTTAATAAATCAGAACATTGAAAGTATATCTGTTAAGTGAAAGGTGAGTATAGGAATATTTGGATACAAGTATTCTGGCTTTCAAACAGTTTATGGCATTAAGTATTAGATAGGTGTTTAAATAATGTTTCGACCTCTAAAGCTAGAAAAGGCTCTGAGAAATGCAAAACTCTGCACAAGTTAAGGTTAGAACAGTTAGAGTATTATTTAGAGAGGTTTCCCATTAAGCAAAGTGAAGACATTCAATTTACTATAAATTTGCCACACTTATCCTTAGTGTCATGTGCCACTGGCTTTAAGCACATTAAGTTGTTTTATGGGCTAATGCTGAGAAAGGTCTCACAATTCTAAAATTTGCAAAGTAATGTTCTTCCTCTCCTACTCGATATGTTACATGAATGCAAGTTATGTCCCTAGAAGACATACCTTTTAAGTTAATGTACTTGTTATGCAGACCTACACACCTTAATCTTCTAATTTTCTAATAGCAAGTGGTTTTTGCCATGGAATAGGTTAGTAAATGCATTTATTGTGTGTTTATCACTTTGTTCTAGTGTTAGGATTTGTTTCTTGTTTCAGAAACTAAACTTGATCATTCAAAACATTTAGTAAGGGAAATATCCTATTCCCCATGCATTCTGGATAACAAAGCTCTAACTTTGTATTTCCTCTGATTGCAGTGCAACTAGTAGTATTATGAGTCCATTCTTTAATGTATACTGTGTTGTAGGTAGGTAATAAGCAACATTTGTAATCAGGGAAATTTTAGTATTTAACAAGTGAATTATGATTTGCTTTCTGTTTTTTCCCCCCAAATATTTTCAGTGCAGCATTCCAATACATAATTTAAACACTTACACCTCCCCAGTGTCCCACAATGATGAAAGTCATCATTTTCACACTCAGTGTTGTATGTAGTTTGGTATTTAGGCCCGTGAGTAGGTCAGCATAATAAATGAAATAAAAAAACACAGATTGAACTTACAGACTATTAATTTAATGCTGTTTGTTATGGCTTCATAAAACCAGTTCAGTAAACAATTCATTTGTTTATTTTATAGCAATTTCACTCACACTGGACTGACTCCCCTGCTTTCAGAGGAAAGCCCAGTATCTGAATGTAAACATGCAACCCTTGAGGAGTCTAAATAAACCATTAGTGTTTTTATCACCTTGGAAATTAAGTCTGAGCGTACTGTTTCTTTATGCAGGGTGTGATGCTTCACTTATTTCTTTTAATAAATGTTTATAGTGTACAACAGACTTATGGTTTTACAGATGATGTGGAATATCCAAATTTGATGGATGCTTCTCAGCCAGTTATTGATCGTGCATCTAAGCCACCTTCTTGTGCAAGTGGTAGCTTAACAGCAGACAGTATGAACAGTGTGCAAGTAGTGACACAGGATAGTGTAAGTGAGGTTCATTCAAAAGTCTTCAGCTCTTCCTCAGACAGAACAAGCAGCATTGTAAGGCCAAGTGTGGATCGTGGATCCAAAGCTGCAGCTTTGCAGACATACAAAGAGCGAAGTGAGGCAGTAACTGAGCTACTTCGTGCTAAGGGACTAGCAATTAAATCTCAAGTGATGGAGGAATCCAAACTAGAAGCAGATAAGGAGTGGGAAGTATTGCGAATTAGCAAGGAGAAGGAAGCTGAAGAGGAACGTACAAAGCTTCTGCAGAACAGAGAAGAAGAGCTCTTACTCAGCATTAGCAAACTAGAAGAGAACCTGCAGGCAGAGGTAAACATTGTCTTTTTTGGCATAAAATAAGAGAAATAAAAGAGGCTGCTTCTCTTCATTCACAAGGTAAGTTGTATTATTACAATGGTAGTATCTGTTCTATGAAAATACCATAAATATATGACATTTTTTCAGTAATGCATTAAATCTCCAAAGTAATGATTGTTAAGTGGGATTTGAGCTTTTCCTGGCGGTGAGTATGAAGGTGGCTATCTTCTGGTTCGTATAGCTGCGTAGTCTGGCGGAAGTGCACCAACATTTCAGAGATCTTGCTGCCCTCATCACAAGGGTGATTGTTAGATCAACAGTATTGTTGCTTTCTTGAGCAGAGCTTCTGCTAATGTTTTATTAAAAGTAACCTACATGTTTGTCCTCCTTATGGAAGTGTGATTAGTTTCTTCAGCATTTGTACCCAAATTAACCTCAGTCCCACAAATCTCGTTTGTGGGAAAGTATCACCTTGGTCTGAAAGTCAGGTGACTTCTTGTTCTAATATTTTCTTAACTCAGTTACCATTGGCAAGATAAAGTAGTTAATATGTTATTACTTGCAGTAATTGATTAACGTTTATAATTTATGAGCAGCTTTCCTCACTTTCCCTCCCAGTTGGAAGGCATACTCCCATCTTGCCATAATGAATTACAGCAGAGCTTCTTGTCTGTGGGCATTATGCAATCCTCTGAGTCACTGACATGAATTTTGACTTCACAAAACCTTTATTATGATGAAGCAACTTTGTTTGAATTTACTGAACATGTTTTATGGTGGTTTCTTATGACCACCATATGACACTTACTTAAAACATGCAGAATATTGTGGTTGAGTGGTTAGCACTCCTGCTTCATATCTGGGAGCTCTCATCCAGGAGACAATCCATCTTGGCTGAGGTTTTTTGTGGTCTACCTCAGCTGCTCTATGCAGATTGCTAATGGTACCTTAAGTTAGGTTACTTCCTTCCATGTCTTTGAAATTATTATTCATTAATAATTTTATCATTTGACACTATGGATATAGATTCAGTTAATAAACATTGACTACTTTTCTCATGGCAATAATTTTGAAACTGTTATAAACTTCAGGGACTTTTCTTGTTGTTGCTTCTTTTCTTTCTCTATTTTGTTTACACCAAAACTTTGAAACATAATATATATTTGTTATAATAAGTAAGATTTTATTATCACCTTTGCAGGAAATAGAGAAACAACTACTAAAGGATAAATTAGAACATTCTAAGCAATTGGAGGAAGCAGCAGAGAAGGCACAGAGTCAAAAGAAAGAAGCTGAGGCAAAAGAAGAAGATGTAAAACAGCTAGTGAAAGAACAAGAAGGAAGGTAAATTGTATTACTAGATAGTTTTATAAAATACTGTTCAGTGAATCATTTGCCATGCAGTCACTTAGTCTATAAAAATATCCCAGACAGTTGTCTTCTTCTGCTTTAGTTATGAATGTACTTAGAAATACTTATTTACCAGTGTGATAACTGTTCTTTTCTGATGCTGGTCCTGTGTTTGGGTGAAGGCAATATGTAGGACTGGACTATATTTCTGACATTATGGAGGTCCATATTACTATCTTCAGCTTCAAGACAAAGTGACTACCTCATGGGTTGTCACAATACGTACAGTATGCATCAAATGTTTGGGTGTCAGGTGATAGCCAGTAGCAAGTAGAACAGAGTGGTAGATTTGATAGTACTGATCTGTTTCCAGAAGGTTGGTTAGGAGGGTGGAATATCTGGGAAAGGTGTGGGCTGGACAGAGCAGAAAAATAAAGTAACTAGCCTCTGTGTGTGATGTAAGGTTCTCATGGCAGTGGAGATATCAGTGTTCTGGCAGTAGGTGAACTGAGCCACTGAGTGGTCACTAGTGTTAATGAACTTGTTCGCTATTTTTTGTATATTACCTGAATATTGACAATGGACACTCATAAAAATCTGAAAAACTAATAAACTGTACACAGTAAACAAGGGATCTGTGGGATGTAAGAAGTACGTCAGCTGCATTACTGATCACTCTTATTGTTAAAGGCCATTTCACAAAATTTAAATTTGTTTTTCATTGAATCTTAACAAGTCTTATGGTCATTTATCAAGTTACATACACTTTTTTGACCTGAAAGAACAGAGTACACATGAAATATACTGTTTTACTGTAACATTGCTCATGAACCAAAAAGCAAAGGAAAGAATACTGAACACATTTGAGTAGGTTTTATGATCAAGTGTATGATTTGTGCCACTTGATTTTCCAAATCTTTCCATCTGAAGTGCTACATTTACAAATGTTAAAATGGCAACTCAAGTAGAGGAATTTCTAATGCCTGTTTTGGAAGAATAGGGTCTTGATGATGTGCTGTTTGAACAAGATTAAGCGCCACCACATTTCTACAAAACCACTTCAAAAGAAAATCTGAACTGGAATGTTCGGGGGTTTTTTGGTAGGAATTTTCCACGAAAGAAAATCCGAACTGGAATGTTCAATAACTTCAGACTTTTAATGACAAATTATTTTCAAGACATCTGGCATTTGTAACATTTTCACTGGCCAAATCATTATCATTTGTATTTGAACCTAACTTCTAAATTACAAGACTGGCAGGACAGAAAGATATTACAGTTACACGTTCTTAAGGTTGTTGAAATCAAACATCAGCTCAGTGAAAGAGTGATAATGTGTCTTAACAACAGAAGTGTCGCTTTGTTGTGTTTCTAGGAAAGCATCAGAGGAGAGACAACGAATGAAAGATGCTGAACAAACGAAGAAGCTAGAAGAAGAGAAACAAAAAGAAAGAGAGAGTCAAGAACATGAGAAAGGTAATAATGGTAATTTCTTTTATTATGGTTGTTTTCTTATGGAATGGTAATGCTGATGTAAGTGAATGTATTGTTTTCTGGCCCTTTAATGTCAATATTTTAAGGACAGCAGATGTGTTGCAGGAGATTTTGCAGTGCTAGCCTTAACTTAAGTAAAATATTTGGGCCTGAAAAGGAGGAAATATTAACTAAGTCACTGTCTTCCTGTTTGCAACACATCATTCACCTGCCACTTCCTTTAACCCGATAATGTCTTTGTAGTTACTAGTTGTTACCTGTAACGAATTGTATATAAACATATTTTCATTAATAGTGTGCTTGTGTCATTTATTTTATTACTTGTTTGCTTCTGCCCTTGATAACATGGACACATTTATAAAATTGAATGAATTAAGTGGAATATATTGGAAAAGTAACTTTGTTGCAGGTACATATTACACACAGTTAAAAAATGATGAACCATCAAGATCAGGTATAATGAAGCGCTCTCACTCATCTCCCAATATAGCACAGGTAAGTGTGTTTATTCTTCTGACCATGTGTGTATGAAACCAAATCGAATGTAGCTGTGTTTTTGCTTTAAGTATGTTTAGTCATAGTTCCTGAAAAGGTGTGGATTAGCTCTCTTACATAAAATGATGTTTTAAATTATGTTTAACAGTAATTCCTTGCATTGAAATATTGAGTGAGACTTGTGACTGGTGGTCTTTCTGAGCAACAGTTGCACTCATGACCACTTCAAGTAACTTGGGGTGGGAGGAGCCACAAAACAATTGCACTAAAAATTTATATGGCACTTCCATGTACAGCAGTATGCCATATAATAAGTTTAATATTTAATATATAGCATTTCATGGTTATACTATAATATATGAAGAATGAACTGTTACTACTGTTACTTAAGTAATGGAATTAGGTAATAGGGTCACCTATTTCTCACCCAAGTCTCCTGATTCACTGCTAGATGGCTCTGGCAGTGAAATAAGGATTGAGTAGAAATTGTGTAGAGTCAGTTGGCTGGTCACTCACTACTTACAAATGCACACTTCAAAGACCAAGAAACCTCCGAAAAGGAGGCGGTGAAAACCCACAACTCGGTTGTAGAGCCAAGAAATAACAGCAGCAACAACAACAGGGTTACCTAGGTGCATAAAGTTATGTGTGCAATATATAATCTACAGGAGTGTACATCATTTATATCTCCTTATGAATTTATATTACAAATATTATTGCATTATATGTACAGTTTACTCTTAATAGGTGAGTCTTCAAAACTACAAAACTACAAAATATGCTATCTGTACTAAGTTTCATTTTTATTTGTACCTCATCTTTAATGTCTACCTAGTTTTATACATTTGCAATATTGTATTCATACAACTTATTACTACCAAAATAAGAGCCATGAAGATAACTGTTTTAGTTGAAATGTGTGACTAGGATATTGTATTATTTTATGTTATTCCAGTTGACTATGCATATTCTTGTTAATTGATATAAGAACAAAACATTGTGTACAAATGATCACTTCATACAAATTAAATATAATGAACCAAGTAATTATGTGTTTTAGTTGGTAGAGGATCTAGATGTGGGGGTTAAACATAAGCCCCCACAGTTTGATCGAAAAATTAAGCCTCTTCAGAAGCCACAACCTTCAGAGATAAATGCAGCACGCCAAAGAGACTTCAGTGCTGTATATGGGAACAAGGTAAGATGATTTCCATGAATTTATTTTTTCAAATACAGCATTGTACCATCCATAGTTTTATGTATACACAGTTAATAGATTTTATGGCATTTTACTAGGCACATTACCCTGTTGGCAGTGTTGCACACAAACATTTTTGTGAGTACTGCCACATCATTCATATATGATGACCTACGTTGGACACTATTTTTTATTGCTTTTTGTGAAATTATCCTTTTCCTCCCATTCTCCCCAAAGTTACAGACATGCACATGTGATGGTAAAAATGTCAGCTGTAGAACAAGTGTTTTGCATAAAAATTAAAGCTTAATAAATTCCCATCCAGAAGTCTGTTGACTGATCTGATCTCTACTCCAACATTTGTTCTTTGCAGTAACATACCAACATAGTCCTATCTTCTGAAATTTTTCATCCTTCTGCCTTCTTTTGTTATCTCTTTCACAGCTAAATATTCAGTTTTAGAATCCTTTATATTTTTAGTAAGTTCTGTTTTGCTTTTATTCAGTCCATATGTGTAAAGTCATAATCTCGTTTTCCTTGTCTTTCCTGTTTAGCCAACAGTACATATTAATAAAATCTTCTCAAGCCATCAGCCACAGCAGATTTAACCAAATAATGTGGTTGCTGGCCCGAGAAGATTTTATTAATGACATCCACTGTGAAAGCTTCATATCATAGACCTTACTTATGTTTAAGTTATTGTAAGTTCCAATGAAGTAGGGGACTGACAGATGGTTGCCTCCTTCAGGTCCCTCTGCTGTTTTGGGGAACTTGTTGGTTATGATTATTACTGAGAAAATTGATAAAGTCTCATTTGAGCTTCGTGTAAAATATTGTTTGTGTTTGACCATTATGAACCAAAATTAAATTGGTTTAACAACTTTAATGGAAACCTTTGATGCCCATTTAATTTAAGTCTGTTCATTAGCTTCAGAGATGAAACACGTGGACTGACTGACAGATAGACATAAAAACGCAACTTCCCCTCAAACTGACTCCACGGAGCAGAGTCCTCCTGAGGAATTGCTTCCATGTCTGAAAGTGTATGTTTTTACTTTTGTATCTGTTATGTGTTGTTGAATATAGTGGTGATGTTTTCATTGATTCTATTCTATTTCCTTACATGCATTTCATCCTGCTGTTACTTGAGTGGAATATTTTTAAAGATCTGTTCCCCCTCTCCAATTATTATATGTGCATGCACATTACTTCTCTGATGATATACTTTACCTTAAAGGGTCACGGAATTACTGGATTAAAAAATCTAGGCAACACCTGTTACATGAACTCCATCATCCAATGCATAAACAACACCACCCCATTAGTGCGTTACTTCTGTTTGGGAGATTACCATGAGGATGTGAACCATCACAATAACAGTACACAGGGTGAAGTTGCAGAGGAGGTTGCAGCTGTAGTAAGAGCACTGTGGTCTGGGGAATTCCGATCCATTACTTGTCGAGACCTGAAGAGAGTGGTGGGTCAACATAGGAAGCAGTTCCAAGGTTATGAACAGCAAGATTCACATGAATTCTTTACTATTCTTATGGACTGGCTTCATGAAGATCTTAATAAGGTACAAATTGAAGTGAAATGTGAATTTCAAATGTTATGTAAGTTAAGTGAGGGAGGAGGTCATATTGACATGCACACACTATTACACTATTAAACATTGGGACTAGGATCAAGGAGCACAGTGCCACATCTGGCAGGGACAGCATGAGAAATCTGCCGTGGTCAAAAACTGCTTCAACCTGGGCCACCATATGCAGCTCCAGGATACCTCTATCCTTTCAACAAAATCCAGATACATGGATCGAATCATCAGAGAGGCCGCCAAAATTGAATTAAATCCCAACAGCTTCAACAGGGAGGATGGACTTCACCTGATCTGGTCATGGAAGCCCGTCATTCAGTCTCTCCGAGGGTTCTGGAAGCATCCCATAGAGTGCCGCCTGTCCCACCTGGACCACTAAAACTCAGCCCTTTTCAGGGCCCCAGGGCCTGTGCTCGCTTCCACACTCCACCTGACTCTCAATGTCTGGTATCTCAACAGGCGGACTCCCTGAGGCCCTCTTAGAGCTGGTTCTTGGACTTCTCTCTGTCTCTCTCTCCCCCTCCCCCTCCCTCTCTCTCCCTCCCCTTTCTCTCCATCTCTCTCACACACTGCAAGACATGCCCACTCACACCTGTTGGTCCCCACCCACGCCTGACTTGACACCAGCTCCCATTGGCTAGGATCAGGGTACTCTGGACACTGTCTGGTCCCTATAAACTTAGCCCTTTCTGCTTGATTGGCACATTCATTGCCCTGATGATGGAGGCAGTATGACCTCTGCAACGTTGGTGGAAATGTACCAGACTACACAGCACAATAACCCAGAAGACGGCAATCTTCAAAGTTAATAAAGTTAAATTTGAGATTTATACCAAATGTTGTTTTTCAGGTTACATGATATATTCAGAGAGTACCATTATTGAACTTCTACCATTTGTGTTGAATGTTTTTCATTTTAAAAACCAGTTTTCATTGTAAATTATCATTAAATTTCATTCTTTGAAAGCACTGCTTTCATCACAGGTGCCAGGTGCTATCACTGCAATATGTTGTGTTAGGAATGTAAATATTAAGCTAAGTAAGTATGGCTTTCTTTATTTTGCATAAACGTTTTCTTATTGACAAAATGGAAATAAGGAAATTATGATTTAAGTATACATTGTGCAGTATATTTGGCAATGAATTGCTTTTGCAAATATTGAATATGGATAACTAATTTAAGCAGTGTGGTTGTCAGATCTTTTGTATCCATATTTCTTTGTATGTAATCAACACTTTACTAAAATTTTATGAATTATATACATTTTGGTTTTCAGTAACAATTTCAGTCTCATTGAAACCAAATTCAGGTATTACTGACTGAGCTCTATACATTTCAGTCTGTCTGACATATTTAAAACTGTGTACCTTTTTGACTGGCCAAAGTAATTTTTCCACCTGTTCCAAATAGTTTGGAAATCTACAGGGATGTTAACCAGTTGGCCACAACATTTGGTATGAAGCTCAAATTCAACATTACTAACTTCCTTACAAACAGTCTCATCACAAATAATTGGTGTACAGCATTAAATATAAATTGAGATTTCAGGTTCTCATGGTGGTGGCACCACCTGTTTATAACATCGCATAACCACTCTCACTTCAGCTGTGTTTATGATCCCACATAATCACTATCACTTCACCTTTCTTCTTTCATTAGACTTTCCATCCAAAACCATTTCCGTTGTGTGGGTTCTTGAAAACCTTTTACATTTTCTTTTCATATACTTCATTATCTGATTATTTATCTGCTCTAGCAAATTTTCATTATGTTGGTCCCACATTTTCAGTGCTCCTTTTCTTTCCATACATTTGGACATTAGAATCTAAAACTACACATGTATTTCTCATATCTTGTATTATCTTTGATAAAATATTTTCATGTTTTCAACATTCTTCTAAATGATTTACTGAATTATTTATATTTCTTGCAACTACTGTCAGTATTAAAGTGTATATATTTTCTTTCTGTTTCCAGCGGAGCAGGAAGTCACCCTTAAAAGAAACAAGTAATGACAACTTGTCACCAGCAGATCAAGCTTGGGATAAGTTCCGTAGGTGCAATGTATCACTGATCCGAAATTTATTTTATGGCCAGCAGAAGTCCACAGTTCGTTGCTGCAAGTGTAGTGAAGAATCGGAGACGTATGAAGCATTCTCAGACCTATCACTGCCTCTCCCCAGCTCCAGTAATAAGTGTTCACTCAATGTGAGTTTTAAATATTGATTCCATTACATTAATATGTCACTTTTACAATACAAGGTGCTATCCAAAAGTATTTGGACTCATTTTGGAGTTGCAAGAGAAATAATGGTATTCAGTTTTGCTAATAGGTGGTAATAGAGCACTTTTATAATCAGTTCTGCACTAATTTTGCTTGTCTACCTTGCTTCAGTGTGATTTTACATCCCTTCAAATGAGACCATGTTGGATGTTTATGACTTCTGTGTTTTACTAGGATGGCACATTTAAAAGAACAATAAATTTTCAACAGAATGACTTGACCCTCCTTTCAGAGGTCATTACAGGAGATGAGACATGGGTTTATGACTATGATGCAGCAGCATTTCTGTCAGTGGAAAAACATTTTATCTCCATTCCCAAAGAAGGCCACACAGGATTGCTTGAATGCCAAGAGCATGATGATCATATTTTTTTTTAAATCAACAGGATCGTTCAGTAGATTTATGGCATGTAAAAGGTCCTTATGAGTGTGAAAGAGATGCTTGGTAAACAAACTGCTGTGGTCATGTTTGTCACCTATGTCTCTTCTGCTGCTCTACCAGATGACTGGCAGTTGAATGAGGCTCAAATAGAAATTGTGCAGACAGCAGGCTTACCACTTACTACTTTAAAGCACTAAAGAGTTTAACATGACAAGTTGACTTGATCATTTGTCTGGAATGGGCCAAAGGCACAGTACTTGAAAGTTAGAAGAAGAAGAGGATTGTTCACCATTAATTTATCTACAGTGTCTATAGGAGGCATATGGGGCTCAGACATCCATGAAAATGGCACACTGGTGACTATAAGCTACATCATGACAATGCTTCCACTCACACAGCCATCTTTCTTTAATGATGTCTGGTGAAGAATGATATGGCCATGGTCTCCAATCCCCCATACTCACTAAGTCTGGCTCTCAGCCATTTATTTTTGTTTCTTAGAAACAAAAATAAATGGCTGAGAGCCAACAAATTCTGAAACATGGGTTCCAGAAGTACTTCAGCAATGGCAAAATCACTTAACAAGGTTGTATTATCTTGCAGAGGGACTAATTACTACAAATGAGACATCATGAAATAGTAATACTAACTTTTTTTGTTATGTGCAGTCCAGAAACGTTTTGATAGCACCTAATGTTTGCTTTGAAGATGCAATACAAATAACTGTGAAATTATTTAAATTGTACCAAAGAAAATTTTGACAAATACAGTATATATGAGAAAATTTCTTGTGTATTCATGCATACAGGTTTACACATAAAATTTGACTGGCATATAATTCAGTATGATTTATGTGTTTCCATTGTGCACAGTAACATTGAGTGTAATTTTTTTACAGCTTATATCTTAATTGCATCATGCTTGTGTTCCTCAATATAATAATTTTATTTTCCGTCCTTACACAAGCTTATAGATTGTTAAAATTACATAAAATTATAACATTTCAACATTTTTGATATTGTTACATTTTAAAATGACGACATGTTTCGATGTTCAATTCCATCATCGTCAGGTCTATCAATCAAAACATCGAAACATGTCGTCATTTTAAAATGTAACAATATCAAAAATGTTGAAATGTTATAATTTTATGTAATTTTAACAATCTATAAGCTTGTGTAAGGACGGAAAATAAAATTATTATATTGAGTGTAATCATCAACTATAAGTAATGGTACCACAACTAAAGTCATTAGTTGATTGTGGGTTTGTTTGGAGTATGGATTTACTAATCTTGCAATAATTACAAATAATTATTTTCTTGATTGCAGTTCTTTACAGTTATACATCACAAATCTTGATCATTCATTCTTCTGCCTGGATTCCACACTGTTAGTAATCACTTTTTTCTTGCAGCAGGTCACACAGGTATTGTTGTCTAAACACCACTTCTTTGCTACCATCCACTAGTTCTGCTGCTTAACCACTCCACAAGGCCATATATACTGGTCATGTCACACAGAACCACAGAGAAGGGTCTAGATATTTTAATTTCCAGATCACCAGCCAAGAGAGTTCTAGAAATGATTCCATAGCCAGATGTTTGTGCAAACCATGTGATATAATTCACATGTTTCATAGCTAACATTTGCTACATTGGCACTAAATTATGATTAATAGTCTGCATCATGCTTCATTTGTAGAACCTTTCATTATCGGTTAACATTGCAGTTAGACAGCACGGTTGCTGTTGTGACTAGCATACTGGCTTATGGACAAGCTTGAGTTTAACCTGTGATGGAACATAATTCTTTATGTTTATCTGTTTCCTCTTCATTCACTCATTAACTTTACAGGATTATCAATGCCAAGTAAAATTTGAGTTGCTACACAGTCATTAAATAATGTTTATGGTTTATATTGCATGACAGGAGTGCATTAAATTGTACCTATATGGTGAGAAGATTTCTGGATGGAATTGTCCATCCTGTAAGGAGAAGCGTGATGCCATTAAGAAGTTTGATATTCAGAAACTACCTCCCATCCTTGTCATACACTTGAACAGGTATGTATCCTCTTCATTAAAAATTTTGGATTTTTTGTGTAAGTGAATTGCATTCATGTAACTAGCATATGATGAAACATGTGTGAGATTATCTAAAATTTAAATGGCAATGGCGTGAGGAACACATCATGTGGTTTATATAGCTAGAGGATAGTGAGGGACCATCATGAGGTTGAGCTTATCTGTAACTTCTAGTACTCAACTCTGACTTTACATATGATATTTTGACCCATAGAGCAGATAATGAAGTCACATTATTGAGAGTAGATTGTGCTAAAGCAATGCATTAATATTTGATTTTGTGTGGACACTAGGGGTAGACTGAGAAATTCAGAAGTGCTTATTTGTGTATTCTTTCTGGATGCTTCAGTGTAAACAAGTTTGGCCCACTGGCATTTAGGTGATAATTTAAAATGTTGGCCAGGAAACTGTTTTATGGTTTTACTCAATCTTTATGATAGGCCTCTAATCATTTACAGTAAATTCCTCATTATGTCACTATGACATCTGATTTCAAGTATAATCTTATTCCTGCTTGTTGGTTTGAAAATGTCATCTCATCTAACTTTTGCATAGACGTCATATAACCATTACATTATACTTACAACATAAATACTTTAGTGCTACAGAAATGTATATAAATGGAAACAGTAACTATTTTTCCTATATGTGATGGAAGACTAGAAGTTATTAAAAATTCTGTAAGAAACCCCCACAGCAGAATGCTTGAATATAATATCACTTTAATACTTTGAAGAACAAAGTTCATCTAGGAAACACAACACATCTCTGTTACAAAGATTAATTAGATAATGCTGTATAGGGAAATATATGCTGTTTATTCTGAGAATCATATGTAACCCATAAATGCACCTTAGTGAGCAAAATACAGTTACTTAAAAATACAGTTAGTTAAAAGCTGGTGGTGCATATAGTTACCACTGTTTTAGAGGGTTAATATACACACACATTCCAGTCCCTAATAGAAGCTATCCTTTATGTCAGCACTACTGTCTTGAAAATAGTGTAATGTCATCATTCCATCAGCCTTATAGTTTTTTGAATCACATCTCATTTTTAGCTGTTGATATGAATTTTTATGTATACAAAATTATTATAATTCTGTTGTCAAGTATTGATTGTCATTCTCTTTTTTATAAGAAAAAGTACAATTTCCAATAAAACATTATTCCTTTTTATTATAAACTCCTATTCTCCCAATAAATCTAGTCCATGCTATGTTAATTTTCTATGTTGCCAGGTTCTCGCATTCTTTAAACACCATTTAATTAATGCCAAAATTTTCTTACTCCAAATCTTTATGAGAAATTTAAAACAGATTTTTATACTGAAGGTTATTAGTTTAATTCCTAATTTGGGGGACCTATCTGTGATAATTATTCAGCTTGCTCTTAGCGCAGCTGTGCAGTATTTCTTTTTTGTGTGCTCCCCTTGGATGAATAATAGAGGGGTGACAAGGTTGCACTTAACAAATATCTACATTTAAGTTATGCTCTCATTTAGCAGTTTTTGGAACTGAAAATAGTTTCTCCCAAATACATGATATTTATATCATCTGAACTTACGTAACTGGTCATTATGCTATGCTCTAAAACATCCACATTACTGTCATATATTCAGAATACCTTGAAAATTTTGTATTTTTTCATAGGTTTTATCATGATGGCTGGTGGCGCAAGCGGCAAACATATGTAGATTTTCCATTTCATTTGGATATGAGTCAGTTCACACTGGTTCCAGGCCAGCGATATGTCAGCTATGATTTATATGGTATATCGAATCATTATGGCACTATGGAAGGTGGTCATTATACTGCATACTGCAAAAATGCTGAATATGGCAAATGGTATAAATTTGATGACCATGAAGTGAGTGAGATCTCTAATAATTCTGTTCGTTCTGGTGCTGCATATATCCTCTTTTATTCATCTGTCGAATATAAGGTGCCTGGAAATAGCAGCTGAAGAACCCTTATTAGATGAGTATAATTTCAAGAGGCTTATTGAACTCATCATTGACTAAGTAGGATTTTAGATTCTTACAGTGATGAATACAAATATGGCTGTCTTCTGGGTTATAGCACCATGTAGTCTAGTAGAAATATACCAGCATTTCAGATGTTCTTGCTGCTTCTATCATCTGAGCAATGAGGAATCATTTTGAGATATAGGAACTAGTCAGAACCTTGATCGGACCAGTAGGAAATAAGGTGAGGATCAAGTGAGAGCAAGGGAGCTAATGGGAGAAAGGGGGACATGCCATCGCCTGGCCAGAAAGAGGGAAAGGACGCTACCTTTATAATGGCCTCTCAGGTTCCATTGGGTAGATCACTGGAAATAAGGAAGTGTGGGTGGATGGAAGGAGGAGGATATGAGGAAAGAAATACATGGGGAGAGACAGTGTACTAATTTACATGAGAGATTAGAGGGAGGGAGGGAGGAAGGAACTGACCTGGGACAGGTGATGTCCTGAAAAGGATAGTGTGGTGGTCTAGTGGCCAGATGAGAACTGGCAATGCTGTATTGGATGCTTTCTACATCCCTAAATCCTTTGAGAGAGTGGATGAGGGGCTTCTGTGATTGGCTCAGGTGAAGGCCATCCTCCCTGTTCATGTTGTTGGGTGTAGCTTGGTCTTAGTGGCCTTCCTGATCATCTGGTCCACATATCTTGATGTGGTGGAGAGGATGTTAGTGTCCTGGAGTTCAGTTTGGCTGTGGCATGCCACACCTTTCCTATTGGCTCCCTTGCCTGATCCTCACGTTATTCCGTACTGGTCTGGTCAAGGTTCTGCCTTGACTGACTGATTTCTATATCTCAAACCAATTTGTGCACATTTTACTCATTACCCTGATGATGGAAGCAGTAAGAACCTCTGAAACATTGGTAAACTACCAGACAATCCAGAAAAACCAACCATTTTTATCATTGACTGCATTAGTTATTATATGAGTGAACAAGATATCCTGTATCCTATGTCCTGTTTTGCTCAGCTGTTATGTCAGGAAGACAACAGATTCTGATAAAGATTGATCAGCCTTCTAGGGTTTCTCAAATGGAGTCATAATTTTATCAGAACTTGACCATATTTAATGTCAGTATGGTTCTGGAAGCTTTGCCAGACAGAGCAGTCATGTGTCTTTGGGACTTTGTTTTGTGATGAATCATAAGACACAGTTGGATTATCATTAAAATAAAATTGTTTAATGAAAATCGTAGGTATATGCCCTAAAGCCATATTTACCATGTTGATGTAAAGGTAAGCAGTTTACAGTGTTATATGATTAAAGCCCATTTTACTTAAACAGAAATTTAAAATGGCAATTATCACCTGAAAAAGGAATTGCTTGGTTAGTGCAACTTAATGGTTGCCCATCTTAGTAGTAAAATAGAGGGACTGTTTTGTAGCTTAATCTTGAAGCCTTTCGGTGAGCATTGTATATGCAAAGGAGTATCAGACAAAATATTGTTTCCAGCCCACTTTTAAAATATTGGTTTTTCTCTGTGACTTAGTAAATGAATTTGTATAGGCATTGGGAGGGAAGCATATTGCCTTCAGTATCATAAAACAAAAATCATAAGGTTTTGGGATTGTCCACAGTTTCAGTTATGTTGAAATTCTCAATGTAGCATCCTGTCTGTCAGTGAGGCAGAGATTTTGTACTGATGAGTAAAAGAATAAATGGTATTTCAATGGAGAATTGCATATGGACATGAATAATGCATTATTTAGAATAGAGTACAGTAAATATTGTAGTCAACTTTAAGTTAGACATGTAAAATGTGTAAGGTATAAACTTCAACTATTTCAGTTAAGATTACATGTTATGTATTATATACTCATAAGGAAATTGATGGTATGCTTCCAGAATCTTAATATTGGATGAATGTTTCATGGATTGACTAATTGTTTTAATAGGACTTAGATCAGTTTTAAGGAAGCATAATTGATTGATATTGTAACTGCTGTGACACAGGAAAGAAATAGTGTATTTTCTTGTAAAATGCATTGAATTTTTAAGAAAATATTATTTATGATGAATGTCTATAAATGGTGTACAAATAAGAAATAATATTATTTTCATATTTCTGTACATATATGTGCAATATGCTTTGTGTTTTAAATGAATAACAGTAGCTTAGTAAAATAATTAATTTAAAATTGTCCATGTATTTATGCTGGTGGCATTGAGAACACTGATAATAATTACAGCACCAACTTAGATAAAATTACATTCTAACTGTAAAGTAGAGCTTGCTGTTTTTTAAATGCATTACATATATAAATACATCATTATTCATACTTCAATGGATTGTTTCAGTTTTTGATTGGTGAATGTTTTTTCTGTTCCAAGTAATTGATGATATCTTGTCTTTTCAGTGGAAATGTGTGGAACTTAGTTCAAAGTAACTCAATGATAATTTTCTTTGTCCATGATTATTATACTATGCTTTACCAAATAATTGTAGTGTTTCTTTTTCTAAATTGTGAATTCAGGAAGCAAAGTAACAAAACATAATTTGTAATTCATTGTGAATAATTGCTGAAAGGACAATTAAAACCCTTGTTCACTACATTATACAGTGTGGTACCAGATGCTATATACTTTGTCCAACACACCATTTAGTACAGCATGGCTCTGTATAATAGTATAAATCATCTGTTATAATTATAATTATGGGTGTAGATGTGCAAAAGCTTCCATTCATAGTTTGATGATTGAGGTCATACCAGTTCTTAGTATCTGACTTGCCTCAGTGCTGTCAACATTTACTTTTTAAGCACAGTTACATTTTTGTGGAAAAGAGTGTGGCAAAAATTAATAGTTGCAGAAAAGAAGGAAAATATTAAATGATTGCTTACCCAGACCTGGTGGGAAGTAATCTTTTCATATATCCCTACCAAGCAGTTACTCTTCTCTGCAATGAATGATACAGCAGTTACAGCAAAACAGATGAGCAATACATCTCCAAAACTTACATTACATTAAACTTAATAAGTGTAATCAGTGATGTTTCCAATTGATTCTGTCGTAATGTGCTAAATCCTATGGAGTCCATACCATTGCATCAAGCATTAAGATTTTATTTACCATCAGATACAAGCACTGTCTGATGGTAAATGAAATCTGTTATATGTTTAATTACTTATTTTGAACAGAACCATTTCTCTCTGGAGGTTTGTTGTGTGAAAGTGGAGTGATTGTAGTGTTGGAATGTGTTTCCTTGTACATAATTATGAAAATGTGAATTGTGTAATTTAGTATATTGCCAGTTTTCTGGGGTAGCGAGCAAAGACGCAAAATATCTGTGATCGGAAGTTACAGAGGAGTAAGCAGTTATAAGCAGGTCTGTTGTTGTAATTTCAGAACAGTTTGTTATTTATACTGTCCATTTAAAAATAGACTGAGAAGTAGTATACTCATATATAGATATTTCTTGTTGAAACCTGTTGTATGAAATCTTTGACAGTTCATGCATGGCAGCACTTCTCCACTTCCACTACGGCTGTATATGTTTAATGTTAACGGGGTCATAATTAAGGAACAAATTCCTGAATATTTTAGTTTACCTCTGTCATTTTAAAAGTTGATAACCAATTTATTGTCTGTGCTAGGGGTGGGCAAACTCTCTACCATGGAGAGTTTCAATTTTCACTTTTTTTTAACATTTACTCTTGCTCTTTCATATTCAGCTACAAGTCTGACACTCTGTTGAGGACTTTGCCCAAGCTCAGCCACTGAATGTTGAAATGATATGGTATTCCAGTATATTCAACATCCAGGTTTTCCAGCAGGGATGTGAACTGTCTGTGACTCAAACCTATTGTTCATATGAAATTCACAAATCTCACAACTGTGCTTATCTCATGATCCATATTCAGAACTATTTGGCAGAGTACCTCCTGGAAATACATCATTTCTTGATCAGAAGGTATTGTCCATTGTATCTTACATTCTTTTTGAAAGGCCTGTATTTTTATCTGTTAAATTCAGAGCCATCTGTGGTTATACTATGTAAGTTACTCTGTGATAGATTGTATCGTTGACAGCCTTTCATACAGGTCTCTGCCAGTTGTGTCTTTCAGAGATTCCACTGAAAGTAATTCAGTGATGATATTGAAGTTGTCTGTGGTCTTACCTTGTATAAATATCAGCAGTTGAGGTGTGTCACTTGTGTCTGTACTGTCATCCAACATTACCAAGAAGTACGTATCATTTAACTCTGTTATTAAATCACCATTTTTCCATATGTCAAACAATTATTTGCGATAAACTCATATTTTCAAACATTGTTTTGTTTTTCAGACCAGCTGCTTCAGTTACGTGCATTATACAGTGTTTCACAAAAATTGTCTGAAAACAGTTTACTATGCATAGTAATGTTATATGCCACTGAAGTCTTTGTTGGGTTGCTGCTTTTTGCACTTGCTCTGGGATGTTAAAACTCTTGTTGCTTTTTGAAATTCAATGCCATTTCTTTGGCTTTCCTTGCTCTTGCTTCCAAAGATTAATTGGCATGATATCCTGCATTTTTTGAAGTAAAGTGGTATTTCAGATTAAAAAGTTTGAGTGCTGAGACTGTGTTATCACAAATTAGGCACACAGCCCTAGATCCAACATCTGTAAACATATTTCCACACCTATAATAACTGTCTATTTTTAATTAATTCCTTATACTTATTTTACAAGGACAGTACAGAGTAATACAGTTACAATAGTTTATTGCATTCAGTAAATACCTCTTCTTGTAAACAAAATAGACAGTTCTCCCAGAACCACTGATTTCATGGAACATTCATACTCAACTGACAAAAACCAGTGGAAATCTTACTTTAACTCTGTTAAAAGAACTGCATGAATGTGGCATCACAGAGAACATATTTTCACCCCATGTAATAAGGCATTGCCACAAATGTATGCTGGTACTAAACTATATATGCACTGTATTTTATGTGCTATAGTTCTTTTAGAACTAACAAATTAACTTTACGTTTTAGTATGGTCAGTATTTTATTTTGAGATAAATAATTTAATAAATAAATTTATAGGTTCGAGATGGAGCAAAAGCTTATGTGATCTTCATCCAGTCCACAGATCACAGTTTGCCCATCCCTCAATTATGCTGTATGCTGTAAAATCGTAATTGTGAAGGTATTGGTCAGTTGTGTACAATTTTATTTTGTTTTGTGATACTGTACGTGGAGGTTGGAGAATCCACTTTTATCTCGCAAAGGAGAGATTGTCCCAGATACACTGTAATGTTGGTTTTGCTGTTCTTATACAGATGCAGTTAGCATTTAATTAAATAAAAATATCCTTTTTTGTAAATATGGTAATTGACTCTGTCCCTTTCAATAATGACAGTTGTCCAGTTAAGTCTATGTGACCCTGCCTGATGACTGAGATAACATTCTGTGTCAGATTTTTTGTTTTTATGATTATAGATTAAAAATTATATGCAGTTTTTGTTACCATAATTTAAAAATATCTGTAGCATCCCATTTAACTTCCTTAAATATGAGGATGTGAGGTAGTTGATCTACAGACATATGTATCACTTGGAGAAATGATAAATATGGTAAAAGTTAAAAGAACACAAATACTTGAATTCAAATAAGTGATATATAAACCACAATAGTAATTTACTTAACACAGCCTTCTACCTCAAAAATTCAACTGTACCTCATGTTCTGCATTTGTAATATCATCAGCTGAAACTATGAACTAGCCTATTACTTTCAGATGTAAGAAGAAATACACTTGCTCCTTCTTTTGTGACAGATGGGTAACATCAAATGGAAAAGAAAATTGGAAGTGCAATAAAACATTCTTACATATTTCATAAATATTGTAAGCTGGATCCAGCCACTTATTAACTTTGATACAGTAATAATAAAAAGCTTTCTTATGTGTGAAATATATAATACGTATGTTCCATTATCATACTATCTGAGCATGTGATTACCATGCTGTTTCATCAGAGGATGGGAGATGTCCAATAACCTTAGCAGTGATTAATCTAGGAAACAGATGCAAGTACGAGGTGCGATCGGAAAGTTTCAAGACTGTGCGTATAAAAACCCGTACACTTATCTTAGGTATTAAATTCATCAATCACCCTCGAAGTAGTTCCCCTGGGAGTGAACACAACGATCCCAGCGCTGCTCCCAAGCCTGGAAGCATCCCTGGAAATCTTTCTTTGTCAGCCTGTCAAGCACCATCTGCGATTCTGCCTGAATCTCTTCTATCGTCTCAAATCTCCTTCCCTTTAGCTGAATTTCATCTTTGGGAAGAGGAAGAAGTCACACAGCGAATAAGGAGGGTGCGGGATGAAGGCCATGGTGTTTGAGGCCAAAAACTGCCGAACTTTGAGAGCGGTGTGCGCTGGCGCGTTGTCATGATGCGTCGCATGTGCATCATCGACAGAGGTTCGGTCATTTTTAAAACGTGAATGCCACACCAAAGTTTGCGGACTCCCCAAATGCTTGCTTTGGCATTTCATAGGTTTCCGTAGCCGTTTTGGCGAGTCTTTGGCCAAATTTGATGCACACGCCATTCCGAAATCGCAGGAGGGTCGGTGTAATGCACTACCAAAACGCCCGTAACTAAGAAACAAATGCTAATTCGATGATGCCGGCTGGCACACTGATTCACTATGAATGTCGGCCGCACCCCCTAGCGGCAGAAGCTCGTACTACATCCGGTTCGCCCTCTATTGACACAGTCTTGAAACTTTCCGATCGTACCTCGTATGTTGTGAACTGTCATTTCTCTTGCTTTGTTGTGTCCACTGTGTGTTGATCACCTGTAGAGAACTTCTGAAATATGCCCCTAACAGTGCAGAACTGCTATGGCACTGCAGGTGTGTATTGTGATGTGTTCCACATCCTTGGCTCATACTCTGAAAGATATCTAGAATGTAAGTAAAGTCTGTTTTGTTCTATTCATTTTCTGTCTTGCATTTTGTATATGACATTAGAACCCTGATGATGGGGATGGAGATGGTTCCTGAAACACTGGTCTGTTTGTGTAACCAATTGACATGGCTGATTGCTCAAGAAGATTTTATTGAATTCTCTACTTTCTGATCCCTTTTGTCAAATTTCTACCCAGACTATTATTGCTGTTGTATTTATTCTATCTTGTGCTGACTATTTGGCTCCTGCAACTGTTGAGCTGTTATTGTTGTTATTAGTATTAGTATAAATGTGTGCATTATCATTTCCTCAGCCACTGCAGTTTATCCCTTGGTTACTTAATATCAGCTACACCTGGTTTGATGAGGTTACCATTTCAGTGTTTATTTTTACCCACACATCTTGTCTACATAGCCTGCATTGCATTTGCTATAGAATTATTAGTAATAAACTAATAAAGTAAAGTAAAGTTTATCCTGCTTCATGCCATACAGGCACTTGGGGTGAGTGAAGGTATAGCTCCTCTCTTTCTTGACCTCAGCACTAGATGGGGGTGAGAACTGCTATGGTACTAATAAGTACATTTAAGTGGAGTATGGCTGTTGTATATGCGTTTACAAAAAATATGATTTTATATAGATATTTGAAATTGCAGAGATGTTTGCATGTACTGTACAATAATTTCCCGTAATCACTGGGAAATAGAATGCAATATAGATGAATGGTAAATACAGTGTGAGTTTCTGACAAAGTATACTACAAATAAGTAAATAAGAAACCTCCCTGTTTTTGCAAGGATTTTAGCATCTACAATAACAATATGATTATGCAGATAACAGCAATGGGAGCATTACTAGAACCTTTCAATATTTGATTCTAAGGTTTTATTTTGGGAGGTGTGCATCTTTTATTAAAGTACTGTTTAGGGAAATGTAAGACACTGTGTGGCAATCATGTGAAATATTTTGGTATGATGACTGACTGTGAACTATTGACCTCTGAAAGTTGATGTGTTTCAAATGCAGGCACCCTACTGCTAATAGTTTGAACTGTATGCCCATTAACTGACTTTTTTCTTGAAAGTTCTGTGTGAACACTATACTATTGGAGACTGACACATGTAAATACATTCAGTTCTGTTCTTTAAAGAACGCTGGGATAGTGGTTGCCTAAATTAGGGAAACCATAACAAGATTCACGTCAGAGGCCTGTTGTCTACAATACCTAGAAATAAGCCGCTAATTTCGTATAAACCGCCCAAAGTTCGAAGTCTTGCAGAAACGAAGGTATTCCAACCAATCCCAAGAAGAAACCCTTGGTTGGATTTGTCCTATACTAGAAAACTTGATTTGCTAGATATGTAAGACCTATTAATTTAAGTAATGATAAAAATACAAATAAGAGTTTACGTTAGTTCCTTTAATGGAAATGTACCTTATATATTTCTAAATATGTTGTCATATTACAATTGTTAATAAATCCTGAGAAGGGGGTGAACACGTCAATGTGAAGAGCCCATTCAGTCTGCAGCAGAGATCCAGAGAAGTTAAAAGTTAAAGTACGAAGTATGTAGGTTGTTTCTAAATGGCTTTGTCTGAAATCCGTGGCTTAAGTAATTTACTGGAAACAAACAAAATATCCATTCGAAAGGTATACTACTAAGTTTATATTTTTCTGTACCTTGCTGTTTTTGTGATAACTACATAGGGTTGGTTTAGTATGTGATTTTTGACTGTCTAGACGTCTGTGCTTCAGTCTAGTTGCTGCACCCCTTTTCTGTGTAACGTGATGAATGTGGTGAAGTATAATAATTAATCTGTAATAACGAATTTTGCTCTTGTATATTTATAACGATGTAATTCGGTGCCTTAATGAGAAATGCATCTGTGATCTGGAAACTGAGAAGTGACGTGGGCGGTTTACTTATTTGGTCTCAGCTGTCAGCGAGGTGGCACGTACGGTAAACACGTTGAAGAGAGCAGTATAAATAATTTTTTTGCAGAATAAGTATATGCTAAAATGTGCCAGGTATTGATTACCACCAAAATTAGACGCGTGTACTGATTGAATGAAAAATATGCGTTTGTAAAATTTTATTATCCATTTGTGTCAAGTTACCATACGTTATACTTCATGCAATTTGACCAGTTATAACCGACAAGTCTGTTTAATTAATGTTTTTCATGGTGTTTTTATAACAATAGGCTTTGCCAAGCGATGGCTATGAAATTATTTAACTCTTTTGCAAAGAACTTATCCATTTGATTTCCTTATGTATTGACATTTCATTAGTGTTAACTTTTGTTCTGTGTCGGTAAAAGTAAATTATGGATATTTTGAATTAAGTACTGTAGCTCAGTCAGTATAGTGACTAGCTACGGGCTGGACGACCGGGGTTCGATCCCCGATGGGGACAGAGGATTTTTCCTCTAGCCTCTGCGTCCAGACCGGCTCTGGGGCCCACCCAGCCTTCTCTACAATGGGTACCGGGTCATTTCCCGGGGGTAAAGCCGGCCGGGGCGTGATTCTGACCACTCACCCCCATCTAGTGCCGAGGTCAAGGAAGAGAGGAGCTATACCTCCACTCACCCCAAACGCCTACATGGCGTATAGTGGGACAAACTTTACTTTACTTACTGTGAGTTTCAGTACTTTTCTCTGATTAATTATGACATAACTGATTCTGCAGTTGTCTTCCATGAGACTGTTTTTTGCAGTGTGAACAGGATGGGCAGGTGGTGCATGGAGGGATTATGGATAAAAATCTGGTTCAAGACAGTTTGTCACCATGGTCACTTAATGGAACCCTGTCTGACTTCCCTCAAGTGAGTAAAAGTTTATGCAGCTGTTGTAGTTTCAAGCAGATGTAGGGTTGCGTAATATTGTAGGTAAGTTAATGCTGGGTGTAAATGTTCTAAAAATCTCCAGATTGGACTCTGATAAATTTCCACCATTAAAGAGAACATGTATCTCGTTTGATAATATTCTATTGTATGAAATATGTATTGAAATTGCTGTTGGCTATGTGGCAATTCTTTGTGGTGTTTTTTATGTGATTATATATAATTGCTAGTGATTTTTTTCAGTGTTGGTGTTGTTTCAGAAATGTGTACATCTGTAGTTAATATTAAAGTATACTTTCACCATTTTGTAATCATAATAATGTGAAGGACAGGTATGATTTATGGCATGGATGTTGTACTAAAAATTATGTGCTGAATACAGAAATTACAGAATAGCAGATCTGGTACTGGTCTGTGGCTTTTGAAGAGAATATTAGGTTTTATAAATATTCTACAGATGAATACAAATCTAGGCTGATAAAAGTTTTGAAAAGCACTATCCATTGGTAGCCTTACAGGACCACATTAATGTTTATTATTTTAATTTTATATAATGATGCCGTGTGTAATCTTATATTGTTTCTTACAGTGTAGTTTATAATGTAATTCTTCATCAGTATACCAACAAACGTTTATTAAATTTGGTTGACAAAATAGGCAATGACATACACATTTCAGGCCCTTTCAGATATCCTCTTTGCCATTTTTGTTGTGCGTCACTTTTGGTTGTTAGTCTAGCAACGTAATTATGTTATAACTTATGAAATCACAACTTTTAATTTATTAGAACTATAAGGATACATCTCTGTTCAATTCAAATTATAAATTGTTTTAATGTCAAAAAAAGAACCTATGATCCATCCATCCGTTCTGGCATGATTACTTCTGTGGTTATTGTTGTGAAACTGAATGCTAGATATAGGCATCATACACTTATGATGTTCATGTTCAAGTCTTTAAAAATAAAAAGCTGATATTTTTCAAAGATGTAGCACTAAGTTTCAGGACCATACATTAAGTGCTGGTCCCACCTCCAAAATGTCCATAGCAGCCATGTTGGTATTATTGATAGAGGCAAATTTAAGAACACAGAGGTGGAGTGGTCTCTTACTGGCTTGATGTTCATACAGAATTTCTAAAAATCATCAGTTGGTTCAGAAGCTATAGGGAAGGGTTTACAAACTGACAGATGGAAGAAGACATGTTTGTGGTGATACCAGAAGCCTTTGAGATTTAAGATTTTTAGGGAACTGAAGATTTGTATTGTTGTGTTTTGAATTATGCATTGTTGTAAGTGGTTTTCACCCTACAAGACTATATAGCATTGTGACCCAGAAGACCACAGTCCATATCAGAAGTCTGTCATATCTTATAAAATAAAGTTGACTAATAAAATGAACCACTTCATAGTTTATTGCTTACAGTAACAGACATATGTATGAAACTTTAAAGTAGTAGCTTAATTATGTATTCATCTGTTTGATCGAGTTTAAATTAAATTTTCGATGTGGACAGTCAACCACTGTATGGTTCATCTTCAGGTCATTCTTAAAAAAAAATTTTATGCTATTTAACATTCTGCCACAAGGAAGTTCTCTATAAATATGTTTCATCATTTCACATGTAATTTAATTATGTATCTGCTGTACTTATTTGTTCATGTTAACTGTTGCTTACTTCTTGGCTGTATGAGGCTTGCAGCTTCAGACTTACTGCCATGATAACCTCAAATCCTACTTACAAGGATTTAACAGAAGTATTTTGTGCTAATCATGTACAATGCATGTAGTGCCAATTTTACTTACAGGAAAGTCTCATATGACTCAGCTGTGAAGAGAATTTAAGTCCTGTTACAGTCCATTCATCATTCATATTTTAAAAGTTTCAGGGTGTACAAGACAGAGATCTGCAGAGCCAAGATGGGGCTCCATACTTGGATAATTCGATGGTTGATGATCTTGTGGCAAAGATATTGGATGATGATGCCTTTGTAGTTGGCAGTGGGCCTAATGACTATTTTCCAGGGTATGTACATTAGGTTATGTTTGTTTTAGCCTGTATACATGTGTCCCATAAGTGCATTTTGAAAAGTATAGTGTTATTTTGTGCTGAAAACTACTGAAAAGCTATTATGTATATGGGGCCTAAAGTTTTTAATTAACATGTTATGAGATGTTTTTAGAGTTTGCAGTTTATTGTAAAGAAAGAGTAAATAAAATTATAATTGTAACAAAAACATTATTATGAAATGTAGAGTAGGCATAAATAACAACATCAATTGATGAAAATGGCCACCATTATTTCAGTTTTTGTGTGGTGCACTTGTAACTTGTCTTGCAGTACTCTGGCATGGTTTTCATTTCTCCTACTGCATGATGTACAGAATGCCACAGCTCCTCTTTTTTTTTCTTTTTTTTTTTTTTGTTTTGTGCAATAAGACTTTGTTTTAATGTGCCCCACAGGTAGAAATCCAAGGACTTAGGGTCTGGTAAGCTAGTTGGTTACTGTAGTGAACCATTATGGCCTAACCAGTGATTCTGAAATGATTTGCTACATCATTGCTAAGGTGTGAAGGAACCCCATGAAGAAACCACATTTCCCTTGACAGTGGTTAACTCATTAACCAAACAGTCTAATAACCTGCATATGTAAGCAGTGTTAGTAGCATGAAATTAATCTGTATTAAATAATTTACAATAACACACCAGAAATTTATTGAAAATTTGTACCTGTCTTACTGAATGAAGGTTCTGCTTTGACCATGTGTGGTCTTTCTAACAAGTAATATGTTGGGTGAAATGAGCTTCATCATTGAAAGAATCCTTGAAATGAAGTTTTGATCACCTTCTTGTGTTGGACTATTGACTAAATGCTTAATGCTTGATAAATCATCTGGTTGCTGTTCTTGGATTTGCTGCAGATGCAGTAATTGGTACCGTAGGGGTGCTTCCTGTAGTACTCTTGGAAACACTTTCATATGTTGTACTTGCCCTTATTTTGAGTGCCAGTGATGTAAGTACATTTGAGCTTTGTTAAACAACCTGATGATGTCACTGCTCATGTTGCGGCCTGGAAAAAACATTTGGAATTTTAAAGTCTTCTGAAGCATACACCTTTCCAATCCTGTTAGTATCCCACAGGTTCTTAGGATGAGATACTTATTACCTACAACTAATCTATAAGGTCCCATATGCATTGTTCAGTTTTCAGATAGAATAACACAATATTCTTTTTGACATGCAAGTGTAGGATACTGTACAGTGGTCCCTTAGTGTATGATGCCATTGATTAATGATCTGCCTCTTGTAGGATCCCATTGTTTCTATCAGCAATAAGTTTTTGATTAATGAAGTGTTTATATTGCATGGTCCACAGTATTGGCTAATCAGAGCACTCCTAGGTGGAATAATTTCTATATTCACTTAACAGTAATTTCAATTAATGATGGCTTTCTTGTGGAACCAGTTATTATTATTATGTTTGTATTGTTGTTATCGCTTGGCTGTTGTCAAGCACTTGAATAAATGAATTGAATTATTATTAACCAAGGGACCTCTGTATATCATTGTAGTTTTAATATTCAGCACAAAACTTTATTTTGTTTTTTGAATTTAGGGGATCATCGCAGAGGGAATCCGACATTTTCTCTCTGTATAGTGGTTCCAGTATGTTGGACAGTCGATGGGCAGAGCAATATCAGAATGGTGTGAATGTAACTTCTCTTAATCTTAGTGGTGTGGACAGCTTGGGCCCAGTTGATGGACTAAAAATGTCAGACTTCGGGCAGTCGCAAATTGACATTGGGAAAGATTTTGTGAGTAATGAATTTTATAGTGTTATTCATAATTAATTATATTTTTGGTTAAAGTAACCACATTCACTGTTGTACTAAATTGTTGATATAAAGGATTTTGTTTGAATGAACTCAGACTGAATTTATATCTCATAGAAGTTATACTGCAATGACACAGCTGAGAATTTGTCCTGACTAGGGACTCTGCTGACTTCATGTGTTAACCTCACTCTGGAGCTTTTCCTTCCCATTGCTTTAATTTGTCAAATGAAGTATGAGCAATAACAGAGCGTTTTGTGTCAGCTGTGAAAGAACACCTGCAACCAGACACAATTAAATTATTCAATTTAAATGTATGGGAGTTGAGTAACAAATAAGTTTAAACAATGACATTATCTCATCAGAAGCATTAAAATGAAAGTGTCGACACAAAAACTACCTAAATAAAGCTATATATAATCTAAGCTTGTGTTTTACACCATATTATATTATTATGGTACATGGTATCTTTGTTAAGATCATGATTTGAATTCCATTTAGGGAATTATTGGCAATACTACTCACTAATCAGGTTACTGACATCTTTTATTGTTGGAGAGTAAAACTGCACTTGTAGTTGGAATAATATTTGTGTTTTAGTATGTGATGTGCTATTAAGTAGTTTAGTTGTGGTGTGTGAGAATGAACATTTAAATATATAGGTATTGTTAGGTGTCCCATTTTTTAGTTTTTAAAATCAGGTCATCCTGATCTACTAGCAAACACTTTATGTAAGTATTGTCTCATGCAGCATGTTAACATTATTAAACAGAAACATGTCAGTGCAAGTCAGTCATGCACTTTGCTGTAAAATGCACATTACTTACAGACCTAAATATGTTTTTGAATGTATCTCACTATTTGTTCACCTGAGAAATAACTGTAAATGTTTCTGGGTTCCATTAAATATCCATGTATTTTTATATAGTATTTGCATAAAACTAACTTATTTTGGGAAAACTATTATTGTAACAGACCCTGTAAATTGTGCACCTTTAAATGCACTGTTAAACTTCCTGCTGCTGTTCTGCCATGTAGCTGATCTTCAGTCAATTTAGAACACATTGCATATGTCTAGGTAGCAGAGGAATGCCATCTATAAATTAAATGCACCTTTATAACGCAACTTTAAATTCATTCAACCCTGGAGATTGGAAATTTCTTGTGCTTAACAGCTGGAAGGTCATACAAGTTTTCACTAAAATGATTATTCTTTCAAGTTTTTACAATGTCATAATGAGACTACAGAAAGCAAAAGTGAGTAAACTTCATGATATGCAATATTGAACGTTTCACTATCAGTGGTAAAGTTCAAGAGTCCAGTTATAGAATTGTAACAAACTCTGATTTTCTAAGAAGAGAGAGTTATCACAACAGACTAACTGTCTGGCATTTGAAAGTTTGAAGAAGATGAATTTTTCTGTTTCAGTTGAGCTCCAATTCAGAGTACCCATGCCTAAACCTAGGGTCAGTAGAGCATGCCGATTTTGATGTGTTAAATTTGACAGCAATGCAAGGACATTGTCCAGGTTCAGGTCAAGATTCAGGGCAGTCAGTGCAAGCACTACCACCCCCTCACCCTCAGACAAGGCCCCTACAACCAGATCCATATTCTGAGCAGCTCCAGTTGTGTGCTCAGCAGCAACAGTATCAACCAAATCAACAGGCAAGTGAAGAAATTGTGCCATTGAGTTATTATGTACATCTTTTAGGATATTAGAATCTCTCCTATTATAATCAGAATTTGCATTTGCCTTCTGCATAGTATATATGGGTTAGCAGTAGCAACACAAATACAGTCAAACCTCGGTCCACGAACTTAATTCATTCCTGAAGGTCGTTCGTAAACCGAAATGTTCATAAACCGAAACTATTTTCCCCATAGGAATTAATGTAAAATGGATTAATCCGTTCCTGGACCCCAGATGATTGCTTATTTAAAATTTTACAACAGTACTTTGTGCACAAGT